TCAACACAGTAATAATAAGCTTTTAATAATAGTTTAATCATAGTTTTAGTTTATAAATATTTAAAAAATTTTATTTGTGTTTTTTTTTTTTCCCCCCCCCCCCCCCTCTCCCCCCCCTCTTTTTTTTTTTTATATTTTTTTTGGGTTTTTTTTTTTTGTTTTTTTTTTTTTTTTATTTGTTTAAATTTTTTTTGTTTTTACTACCCCCCCCCCCTTTTTTTTTTTTTTTTTTTTTTTTTTTTTTTTATTTTTTTTTTTTTTATTTTTTTTTTTTTTTAAAATTTTTTATAAAAAAAAAAAATAATTTTTTTTTTTTTAAAAAAAAAAAAGGTTTTTTTTTTCTTTTTTTTTTTTTTTATTTATTAAAAATATTTAAAAAATGAAAAAAAAAAAGGGTGAAAAAAAAGAAAAGTTTAAAAAAAAAAAAAAAAAATTAAAAAAAATATAAAAATTCTATTTTCCAAGTCGAAACGTGATCTAAAATATGCTACAAAGTTTCGAAAACCCGAATTTTGTCGAAAATCGATATTTTTGGTATTTTGTACTAAAAATTTGTAATGTTTTTGCGCTTAGGAAAAAATAAACAAAACCTAGAAATGCTGTTTTTGCATATAAGGTACCCCCCGATAATGGAAAAGAACGAGCTCTTCTCCATCTCAAAACAAGTTCAAGTTCTTGCTTTGCTGACAGTTTTCGGAGACGCTCTTTGACCAACAGAGGGACCGTTAGACCCTAGAAATATGCATAAAAAAGGGAGGAGAAAGTGGGAGAGGTAGGGAGAAAGTGAAACCGTCCACCCGTACACTTTCGTAAACAACTCGCCAAATTAGCATTTGTTGTGAAATTGGCGGGATGTTCTTTTCTCTCTTGCTCATGCTCTTTCTTTCCGTTCTGATCTCCATCGAACTTGTCGTGTTCTTTCCTTAGGTTATCGAGAATAGTATCTATTGCTTGTTTTCGGGTGACGTCGTTAAATTTTACTTTTTTTGGATAAGTTCTGAAATATTTTGACTTAGATTTTTATCGTTGCGTACATACGTGTGTAGCGTTGGCTTTACCGGCGTGTATTCAAGCGATGGGCCTCGATTATATGCTTTAAACCGATATTTTCCAGGGCTGGAAAAGCGCGTTAATCGACGTATTCGACAAACCTTTTTCGAGCTCCTGAGCTGCTTTAAAGGGCTGGAGAAGGCAAGTTTAGTGATATGGATGGCTGGCTCTTAAAACAGGACTATCTTAAAAAATAAGCCAAAGTTTCAAACCCTTAAATCGACCGGATTCCATTACGCCGTGAAAATATTGCGTAAATTACGCCATGAAATATGCGCATCGCTACTGTATTGTGGACGCACCAAAATCCACAGTCCATGCCTTGCAGGTTCCTTTAATAGTTTTAGAAAGCGGGAAGGCGTGTCGCGTATCGCGGGCTCCTTAAAATCCCCAACGTTCCATAGCTTGAAAATCCTTATCCTTGCCTTGCAGGTCCCTTTAAAGTCGACCCGCACGCCATTAGTACCCCCTCGTAAATGGCCTCCATTAGTTGCCGTGCTCTATTCCGCGAACTCCTCCGTGACTGTACACCTATGGCCGGTCGGCATGACGGCATGTTTGAAGTCGTTCTCGTTTTCGAAGTGCCCCCTGAAGCTCCGATCCGCCTTCCCCCTTTTAGGCATGGAAAGGGCTCTTTTTCGGCTTCTTCTCCCAGCTGCAGCTCCATTAAAGCCAGCTTTTTTCAGCGCGTTCTCCTTTTTGGGGGGTGGCAAATTCGACGCGGACTAGGGTTTCGGAGACACTTTGATCAAATATTTTTTACGGTTCAGATTTTTATATACCCCCCCCCCCCCCCCCCCCCCCCCCCCCCCCCCCCCCCCCCCCCCCCCCCCCCCTTTTCCCCCCCCCTAGTTTTTTCCTTAAAGAGACCAGCAAGTCTCAAAATAAACCCCGTCTTTTTGCTAGGTGCAATTCCGTTATTTGGTGCCCCGTGTAGCCGTCAAGACCTAGTCGATCGAAGGCGTCGATTCTGGGGCTTCCTAGTTCCTTTAAAGTTGCGCACCTGAAAATCTGAGCTTCGCGTACATTATTTTCAACCGAAAAATGTAAGTCGTTCCGTTCCATTCCTCCGAACGTCCAATCCGATGTATCTTCTTTGTACTCCCGGGGAGAGCTGCTCCAGAAATTGGACTTTCCCTGCTCTCTCTCTCTCTCTCTCTCTCTCTCTCTCTCTTTCTCTCTCTCTCTCGCTCTCGCCCTATCTCTCTCTTCTCCTAAATATTGGGATGTTCCTATTCCCCCAATTTTTGCTTTCCCCTGCCAAATTGGTAGCGACTTTTCCCAGTGATCTCTGACTTTCCGAATTCCTTTTCGTTCACCTTTTCTACGGTAGCCTTTCCATGATCATTACTACCTACCGTAATCAGTCATCTTCTATCTGTCTCCATCTACTCCGCAACAATACAAATGCCATGTCTCACTTTTCTGCGCTTTCCCATGGGCGGTAAAAAGCGACCACGTCCCGAGTTACACCTATATTCATGGGATCACGGTGTAGGGGCGAGAGAGAGAGAGAGAGAGAGAGAGAGAGAGAGAGCAAGACCGAGAGCGAGAGAGACAGACAGACAGACAGATCTCAGTTTGTCTGTTTGGTGTTGTGGGAATGGGTGTGGGTGGCTTTTCTTCCGCCTCTCCCCCTGATGCCACTTTTCCGCCTGGCACCCCAGACCTCCGAGAAATCACGCCCACAATGCCCCCTGTCAGCAACCCTGATCTCGGCTCATTTCCGCCACTTCGGCTGGGCTTAAGTTTAGGCTTAGGCTTAGCTTTAGATTTAGGCTTGGGCTCAGGCTCGGGCTCAGGTCTTGCTTAGGCTCAGGCTTAGGCTTTGGCTTCGGCTTGGGTTCAGCTTAGGTTCAGTCACAGGCTCGGGCATAGGCTTGGGCTTAAGCTGAGCTCTAGGCTTCAGCTGGGCTTGGGTGTTGCCTAGGATTGGGCTTAGGCTTGGCCCTTGGGCTCAACTTTTAGTTTGGAATTGCTTTACTTTTAGGCATGGGCTTGTGCCTAGGCTTGCTTGGCTTTTGCTTGGACTTAGGTTTGAGCTTAGGCTTAGACCTAAGCTGAAACTTAGCTCAGACTTACCTGGGGCTCAAATCGAGCGTGCGATTGAGTTTGAGCTTGAGCTTAGCTTAGTGGACCTCATCAGATTCGGCTTATAGATCGGTTCAGGTTTAGGCCGAAGCTAAAACTTAAGCTCCAAAGTGGATTGTCATTCTTGCTCATTTAAGAAACGATCCCTTCTGGCTTGCTCTTTTCCTGATTCATACCTTGGGCCACTAGGTTTCCTCCGTCTTCCTCGATATTCTCTGCTAGCCGGCCTTGAATAAGCTTTCTACTAGAATACGCTACTTCCCCAGCATAAAAGCGCAATTTTGTGCGCTTTCCAACGCCCGTCATCTCCTGCTCAACGTGCAAGCAAAGATCCGTCACTCATCGCACGATTCTCTGTCATTCTGCGTACCGAGGGGGAAAGGTCGTCGACCACCCGCTACTCCAAACCGTCCCGCGGAGCCGCGTGTACTTTTATTGCCGATAAACCGCAGACCCGCAGAAAACGGGCATTGTTTAAAGAACAACATCGAATCGGCGCTCGCTTTCTGCAAGTGCGCGGATTTTACGTGGTGTTTTCCGGAGGGTACTTCCCGGTTTAGAGAAGCTGGAACTTGTCCTAGGATACGTGCCAGCCGAAGCTTAACTGAGAATCGAGCTAAATGTAAGCCTAAGCTAAGCCTAAGCTAAGCCTAAGCTAAGCCTAAGCTAAGCCTAAGCTAAGCCTAAGTAACTAAACATCAAGTTTTCAGTATCACAAAGCTAAGCGTCACTCCAAAAAACGACGCCTTGCCCTTCCTGAAAATGGTCATTTCGAAATATATGATCCCAGCCACTAATCTGCGGCGGCAACGAAATGCGCCAAATTACAGTAATTTTTCGGGGTGCGCTTCCTGGATTCCTGGGGCAAATGTTTACCGTTGCCTTGCCGCCGCTAAAAATAGTCCCACTTGTCTTTTGCTTTCCTCGTTTTCCGGCTTTCAAACTTATTTCCGACGCTTGACCTTGAAAATCGCGAATTTTCAGGCTTCTTCATCATCTTCTGCAAGTGACGGCTTCAGAAAATTTATCGGCACTTCCAAACGCCAGGAAACTACAAAAGGAGCCACACTAGCTAACGGTAAGTACGAAATAGCACGAGAATTTACATACATTTGTAGTTTTTCGGATCGACTTCGCCTCCAACGTACTGCCACCAAAAAAGCTATCGTAATCGGTGGAGCCTCTCTTTGAGTAGGCCCCCACAGCAGTCATCGTGTCGTTGGAAAAGAAATTCCCGAGTCGGGCCTCCGAGTGGACGGCCCATGTGAAAGTTCGATTCGAGCATGCACAGGTTAGTTATTGGAGTTAGAGGGAGATGGAGAGAGAGAGCGAGAGAGAGAGGGAGAGAGGGAGAGAGGGAGAGAGAGAGAGAGTGAGTGAGTGAGTGAGTGAGTGAGTGAGTGAGTGAGTGAGTGATTGTATGGGTGAGTGAGAGAGTGAGAGAGAGGGAAAGAGAGAAAAAGCGAGCATTTTCTCAAGACCTTGATTAAAAATTACAGCGCGTAACTGATTTGTTCCCTTTTCCAGGAAGAGTTCTTCCGGTCTCTCGGCCGAAAAATTGGCGAATCCCCAGTGCTCGTGCTCTTCATCTCGCTACTATTGACAGGTATGCTAACTTCGGCCCCGGCCGTGGCTTAGCATTAAAACATCTCCTAACTCTTAAATTTCCAGCAATCTTCTCGTTGGGCCTCCTCTACTTTGAGGAGACGTCCAACGTGCGCGAGGCGTACAGCCCTCAAGACGCCCCGAGCCGACGCGAATACGCGGTGTCGCGCGAGTTTTTGAACCAGGCAAATCGTACCTTAAAAATCGTCTTATATCGCCAATTTTAGAATGGCACGCTTGATCCATCGTATGTGATGATTGAGGCAAAAGATCGGGGGAATTTGTTACGGGTACGTTAGGGGAAACAGCTGGCGTAATTTGTTGTCCATTGTAGCCGGAATATCGGGAAACGCTGCAGGAACTCATCAATTATCTGCAGAAAAATGTGACGATCACGTATCATGGGGCTGAGTGGTATGTATCACCGTTAATAGCTTATTTTAATTTTATAGAAAGATATTTGGAACCCATCGCAAACTTGACCATTTTATATGGATTTTTTATAGCAACCTTTGATAACATTAAAATCTGGGCTAATAAAACTTCAATCGGCTTCGGCTTAAGTTTAGGCTTAGGCTTAGGCTTTATAGCCCTAACCATAGGCGTAGGCTTATTAGGCTTAGGTTTATGTCAGACTTGGCTTGGCTTGCGCTTGGCCTAGGCTTAGGCATAGGCTTAGTGTTAAGCTTAAGCTTCGGCTCTGGCCTGGCTTAGGCTCAGGTCTAGGTTTACGCTTTAAAACTCAGTCGTCTTAAAACTTGCTTTTTCTTTCTCAGGTCCTACCGCGAGCTGTGCCAACCGTATTGCGAGCTCTCTACACCCCTCCTCGTCTTTTTGAAAATCTACGACGTCGACAACCCAGCCACGTACACCTACCCGAATCTCGACGTTTTCGGCACGCAGGCTTTTATAGGTCAGTTTTCACCTAAATCTATTTATTTTTGTCTTTAAAACGCTTTTGTATCAAAATTTTGCTCGCTCCAGGTGTTTTGCCATGGCGCTGCCGGTGGTAATGCATTCCATCACACTACCCCCGGCCATCCCACTGTTCCCCCATTTTGCCATGGCGGGCGCCACGATTCATTCCTATTTCACCCGCTCCCCCGATCTTCGGCCCATTTGCATACAGATGACACCTATGGACGGGCGGGCGGTGAAAGGGGGGAGCGGCTCCCGGAGCGCCCGCAAAAAAATGCCCCAGCAAAACTTTCGCCCCCAGCGGCTTGTCCTGACTAGGTTTTTGGCGCGTGAAAATTGGGGAAATGGGGATTGGAGATGAATGGAATGGAAAACATATAGAATTCATCGAGCGGGCGGTATGGTACCAAAAAAGTGTGAAAAATCCCCAACAAACGTATCAAAAAATTTTGGGGGGGGCCGCGCCGCGGCGCCTATTTACGTCTCTCTCTCTCTCTCTCTCTCTCTCTCTCTCTCTCTCTCTCTCTCTCTCTCTCTCTCTCTCTCGTCGATCTGTTTTCTCCGGTCTCCAAAATTCAGATATTTTTGGCTGATTTCGCCATTTTCAGTCCAAGTTCCACGATTTTTCCAAGAAAAATCCACCAAATTTGCTTATTCGCCAGTAAAACTGCGTCATCTCAAAACGTTTCATAAAAAAACTGCCCTCGGACTGAAAGAAAAGAAGCGTAAAAATCCGGAAATTGTGAGGTTTTTGAACAAAACTCTGCATCGTAAATTCATCGCAAATTCCGCCGCTTTCGCAAAAATTTCTTTTCTTGAGACCCTGCCCGCGTTGCAAGTAAAAATACGCCAAACTTTGAAAAGCAAAGGGACCAACTTCTCTAAGAATCTCGTGAAGTTCCAATTCTCCTATTTTCCAGGCAACAACGTGTACAACCTGAAGTTGAGCGACGATGGGCAACTCGAGTCGTTCTCCACCGCCATCCTGCCCTTCTACATGGTGTCCCACCACGAAGACGAAAAGGTACTGCACCTTTTCGCGAAAATTCTGTATTTTTAGGTCATCTACAATTGGTTGATCGAGGCGAAGAAGACGTTTGAGCTGCCCGAGTTTTCGAAGCTGTTCGAAGTTGGTTTCCGTTGATAGACCCATCGTTTTCAACTTTAAAAAGTTATTAACCATTTTTACAGTGCGAAATCACGGGCGATCTGCTAATTTCGGCTGAAGTTCGGCGGATGGGCCTGGAGACGGCGCCGCTGATCATCGGCTCCGTGGCGGCGATGATTGCCTTCGTCGTGGCGAGCAGCTTTAGGTAGATTTTTCTTATTTATTTTTAGATATTGAATATCGATATATTTTAAAAGCATTAAAAAGTATGCAAAAGTGTGTATTGTCAGCCTTTTTACTATTCTTTATTTTTTCCCTAGGCAATTCTTGACGTACAAAAAAAAAGGAAAACTCCAAAATCCCGATAGCCAAAAACCCCAGATTTGAAAGCCATTTATGGGTAAAACGACCGGAAATGTCACATTTTGGCTGCCGGGGATTCGGCAAGACGCCGCGCCTCCGACCAGAATTTCAAACTTTTGGCGTTTTTCCAAGTTTTCTCAAGCGCTTTTCGCCATGATTATATAGCTAATGTTATTCGAAAGCATGATGAAAATACTCGCTATTACTTGCCATAGCCGGAAATTTTAAAACTTATGCGAGTAGGCCCGTCTGCTGATCTATCGCTCTCACAGTCGCCACGACCACTTCCTGCCTTCCCAACGACTGTCTAGTGCACCCAGTGGCTATCATGATTTTCGCCCAAGAAAAAAAACTGAAAAACCCATGGAACCATGACGGCCAGACGGGTAGCTTGATTGATCTGGCGACACCCTGAAAATCTCTCAAAACTCCTGCGATTCCCGCAAATTTCAATCCGCAAACCTTGGCGGCTGACCAGCTGTGAGATAGCCTTTCTTCCGGCTCGAATCCCGGGGTAGGGGTATTTTGTCCTTTTTTGTGGGTGTCGATGGGAAAGTAGTGGAGGGCATTGTGTGTGACATCACAATGGATAGTTGGGGGGAAATAGGGGGCGAGGAATCAGTGATAGATAGTCCACTCTCGAGGTCACTCTCGTCGTCACAACCCCCCAAAAAGGGGAGGCAGACAACACGCCGGGATGTGTGCAACGCTTGAAACAACGGAGGATTATCAGCGGGGGGAAGCACAGGAGAAAATTCGGGTACTTCTCGTTTAACGGGGGGGGGGCAATAATGAATTATAATAAGGGGTACATAACGCTCCCCGTATTTCGATATCTCGAAGGATATTGAAATAACGTCGTAATTAACGTTAAAATTTGTCTTTTCGTACACAAAATTATGCCTAATAACTTTTAACTTTACATTTTTTTAGCATTCTACACGGTTTCTAGGTATAAAAACAAAACGATCGATTAGATGTCGACTTTAAAGTTTTCTAAACGTGTTTTTATCGTGGTTATGTAAAGGAATTTATCAAAAAAACTATAAATGCATATTACTAGGCATTCTTTGTTGATAAAAATACCCCCGCTGAATCGGAAGTACCGGCGGTTGTATGAATAATTCATTTATTGTGGGGAGCGAAAGAAATTAAACAAATAGTTGCTTAAGTAAATCCATAAAAATATACCAAAAGCGTAACTTCGAACGACCATACCATTTCCAGGCGAGACCCGTCACGCTCGAAGCCGTGGGAATCGTTGTGCGGCTGTCTGATTCCACTTTTGTCGCTTTTGGCCGCCGCCGGAATTATGTGCTTCTTGGGGATGAAGGTGGGCCATTTTTAACTTAAGTCTCTGTACAAAAAAAGGAATCCTTTTCTAAGGAAATGAGGAATTTTTAGTTCCAATCGATCATGGTAGCCTCGCTGTTCCTCGTGCTTTCCATCGGGGTCGATGATGTATTCATTATTTTGAGGTTTGTGTGGGGGTTTTTTTAATCGCTAACAAAGAGACGTTTTTTTCCGAACCTGTTTGCAAAATCTACGAAGCGACGATATTTCAAAAGTTATAAAGCTTTAAAGTGTGAAAAGTGTCCAAAATGGCCAACTTTCGCCGTTTTTCGCCCTTGAAAACGTCATAACTTTGTTATTTTGATCGTTTCGCCAGTTCTGAAAACGTAGTTTTAATCAGCGAAAAATTCTGCAAAAGCTAGGCTCAGACTCGATTGCCAATAAAAAGATCTCCTTGTAAGCCAAAAGAAAACCTGATCAAACTCCCTAATTTCAGAGCCTGGGATCGCGCGCCGCCGACGGATCCGGTGGCCGAGCGCATGGCTTTTACCCTAGAGGAAGCCGGGGCATCGATCCTCATAAGTGCCATCACAAATATTATGGCTTTTGTCATTGGAATGACATCATCTACGCCTGCCGTCAAGGCCTTCTCGCTATTCAGGTATCAATTTTTGAATTTTCAAAACGTTAAAACGCGTAAGAATGCTGGAAAACCTTGGTTCTTGCGCATTATCGGGGAGAGGTGCATGGCCCACATCTTTCCGATAAGTCAAAAAATTCGTAAGAGCCGAACAGGGAGCATTTTAATAGTTTTTTTTTTAGGACTTGGCGGCATTTCAAGCCAGAAAACCAACTAAAAAAACATAGGAAACACCGGTTCTTTGGCATTATCAGGGGGGCCTTGCGAATGCCCAAAAACCTAATGACAAGAGTATTAATAGTATTTGTAGTAATATTAACGAAATTCGAAGCGGGAAAACTACCCGAAACCCTAGAAAACCATCTAATTAATTTGAAATTGGTGAAAAGCGGATATTTTTGGTCGTAAAATCATTTTAACAAAAGTTTGTATAATTTTCAAAAAACACGACCCCCTTTTCAGTGCCGTCTCGATCACGGTGTGCTTCTTCTACATTCTGATCATGTTCACCGCCCTGTTGGCCCTGTCTGGCCGTCGTGAAAAGGCCGGGCTGCAGTCCATCTTTTGCTGTTTCAAGGCCAACCCACAGGTATGCCAGACACTACACGATGCTCCTATAATTGCTAATGGGATTGGGGAAGGACGTTGTTTACCAAATGGTACAAATTGATACAAATAACGGCTACGGGGAAGGGAAATGTTGTGGAGTCAGCCGGAAAAGCGGTACTGAACTGTTAGCCGGGGGGGGGGACTATCTAGCCTATATCTCAATAGGAAAGATATTTCTAAATTGTTTTTTATTCCGCCTGAACGTGAAAGCTTTGCAAATTTGCGTTAAAAATGTCAAAAATATCGATTTTTCGACCGAAAGAGCCGATTTTTTAACAAAATTACTTTTTTAAAATTTTGTAGCTTTTCTAGTTTAAATATAGTTATATATTACTAAAAACACTATTAAAACACTTTCTATTACGTTACTAGACATTTATAAACTCTTACAAAAAATTTCGCACCATATTCAGAAATTTAACGAAAATCAGAATTTAAGAACATGCCAATAAAGTTTATGAGCTTTTTTTGTACTGAAAAACGGCATAAAAGGTTAGATAAATGGTTTTTAATTTTTAGCACCCCGCTAATAGACCAGTATCGAAAAACATCGAAAAAATGGATCAACTAAAAATATAAATTTCAGGCACACTCGTCGCTCGTCGAAAAAGTCGTCACCCTGCAGACAGCCGCCATCAGATGGTGGGCAAAAGCCTGTCAAACGTGGACCACCCGGTAGTGCAATTTTTTCTCGCCGAAACCGCAAAAACCAAGGGCCGTGCTGCTGCTTATAATGCTCGTCTACTATTATTTCTCCATCTACGGCATCCAGCGCGTCGAGACGCTAATTTCACTCGAGAAGATGACACTCCCAGATTCATACGTTCAAGTAAGACTCTACGTATAGGACGCTAATAAGTTGAGAAATACCTGGTAGTGTAATAGTTAGTATTTTAATAGTGTTTTTAGGCAATTTACGGCTTAATTAAAATGGAGAACAATTGAAAAAATACTTTAAAAAATTTTGTTGAAATTTGGGTAAAAAAACGGCTATTTTTGGTCGGAAAATCGATATTTTTTAGATGTTTGTAATGACAATTTGTAAATCATTTAGTAAACACCGGAAAATGAGATCCTTAGAAAAACTTCCAAATTCCAGAAATTCCAAAAACACTTCGAAGATTCGATGCGCAGCATGCAGCCCATCTCGGTGTTCATCAAAAATCCCGGTGATCTGCGCGACCCGGAGCGGATGGCGAGTAAGTTGGGCAAAAAGCAAAAGGGATGCCCCGAACCGGGATCGAACCGGTGACCTTTAGATCTTCAGTCTAACGCTCTCCCAACTGAGCTATCGAGGCGGATGGGGGTGCTGCGGGGAAAGACACTGACATTTCAGCGATCAAAAAGATTGTGGGCGAGTACGAGACGGCCGAGTTTTCCTATGGGCCCAATTCGACCTTTTTCTGGATTCGACAATATGAAGAGTTCTTGGAGGTAATTTTTAGAAGATAGATACGTTACAATCGGGCTTTTAGTATTACGTTGATTCGGATGATGAAGAAATTGAAAAGCCAAAGTTCACCTACACAGAGATCCCCGCCTTTTTCAAGGTATGGGTCTTATAAAAGAAAGTTGATAAACCCGAACGAATAGCCTATGATATAATCAAAATTTAGTCGGCAACGTATTTCTACCTGGAAACCTTTGTCAAATATAATGAGACAGCGTGCGATGAAGACCGGCCGGAATGCATTTCCCAATTCTTCTTCCTGACAAATTTCGCTGGGGTATGTTTCGTTTTTCTGTTCTTTTACTAGCTATTTTTTACTAGAATATAATGATTCTAAACGCCTTTTAGGTTATCAAATACCACGAGCTGATCCCAGCCGTGCAGGCCTGGCGCAGCATTGCGGCAAAGTACGCCGAGTTCGAGGTGTACCCATTCTCTGATCATTCGCCGTTTGTTGATCAGGTAAATCTAATATTATTTTATTCTATTAGATGTGTTTACATCAGATTCAAAACAATTGCAGACAATGTTGATCGACTCGACGGTGTGGTCTTCGGTGGGGGCCTCGCTTTTCTGCACGGCCATCGCTTGTGTCATCTTCATCCCGTCGCTGTTCTGTATCGTCTGTGCTTGCTGCTCAGTGTTTTCAATCACAAGTGGGCTAAATTTGAATTTTTATTTTTTGAAGCCTACCGCCTTTGATTGTGGGCGTCCGTTTGACGGAAAATTAGTTTAGCCCTTTTTGAAGAAAAATATAGTTTTCCGACCCGAATTCTCGACTTTAAATGGATGCCGAGGGCATAAACAATCGGTTCTACGCCTAGGCGTAAAAGTACAAAATGTCTCTGCGCCTCTCCCCGGGCGCGCTCTCGCCCCTGTTGGCTACTTGCCAATTTGTTGATGGGGGGGATCGACACATGCCGTCGGCAGCCCTTTAAAGGGCACGTTCAGGGACGTTTTTTGGGAAAAGCAATGGTTTTTTGCCCGGCCGGGGAATCTAACCCGGGCCCCCGCTCGGGAGGCGCGGATGGATACCAATCAGCCACAGCTACAACCTGGCGAGGGGGCGAGGGGCGCCTCACCCCGCAAAGGAGGGGAATGGCCTGTCACAGCACGGGCAGGCGTGGCGGTCCCTACCCATAGGGTGTATACGTTGGACAGAGTATACGGCCCCTCCCTGAACGTGCGCTTTAAAAGATTCTACTTGAACGATCGTTAAATTTTACTTATAACACGAGCAAAATACTTACTATTACGCAACTAGTCATTACTGGACTAATCGCAAAAAAAATTCGGCGAATTGAACTGGCGCCGGAGTGACCGGCAATACCAATGCATTCTAGTCGGTATCGTCGGCTTCCTGGCGCTGTGGGGCATCCAGCTGGACCCACTGTCAATGGCCGCCCTTCTGATGGCCATCGGCTTCTCGGTGGATTACACGGCCCACATGTGCTTCCACTACTACAAGGCAAAACCGCGGAATCGTGTCGACAAGGTCGAGGAGGCGCTGTCAACGATTGGATGGCCGCTGATGCAGGTTGGTTAAAAAAAGTGTTTATAAGCGAGAAAACCACCTTTAAAATTTAGGTATAAATGCAAGGATTTTACAAATCATTAATTTTGTGATATAACCCGAAAAATTCTGCAGGTTGGCCTCTCGACGCTGGTGGCCTTGGCCCCGTTGGTCTTCAAACAATCCTACCTTGCCGTCGTCTTCCTGAAAACGATCACAGTGGTGGTTATTCTCGGAATGTGGCACGGACTTGTTGTGTTGCCAGTGGTCCTCGCTGCGTTGACCAAAGAGGAAGAAGGTGATTTTGGAAAGACATGTTGCGAATTATTTAATTTTCCAGCTCCTACGCCCTCATCTAGCGATTCCAGTGAGCGATCGTCACAACGGTCGCACGAGCGGAAAGAGAGCATCTATCGCACGCAGGTTAGTTTTGAACTAAAACTTTTATTAACTGGGAAATGGGGTACGATAGGGTAAAATCCATAATACAAATCCCACGAAATTCTTCAGAGTAAAAAAGATTCTTTTGCAATATAGGAGGCAGGGTGAACTATTTCCTGAAGATCCAATTCTTCAAATCAGATAGAGTAACTGTTTAAACCCGAGTAACTATCTCCGTACCGCTTACGAAACAAACCACCCGATTAAAGGCGCTGATCAGCCGATTACACAAAGAGTTCGGGAAAAGCCCGAAGGTCGGCCCGATCGAGCCAGCGACAGCTCCAGAAAAAGCCGGCGAGCGACCAGCCTTGACGCATCGGATTGCTCTCGGAAGAACACAGTAAGTAGCTGTAAAGATCCAATAATGACCTATCAACTAAACACAAATAATATTCCTACAAAACCCGCTTCAGATCTTCCGAGATCATCGACAAGGAGGGCGTCTCTTCCACGCCAATGCCCGTCGTCCAAAACGGCCCCTTGTAGCCGGCGATGACCATCCCCTAGGACATTCAAACCTTTCTCTTGGCAATTCATCATTCATGGGTCATTCTTTCACTTGTATCCCCCGTGTCGCCTTGCCTGCATTATTTATTTTTTGAAAATTCTCGGAAATTGGCCAATTTCGCACGGTTCTCACGGTTTTTACTGCGGTATTTATAAGTTTACCGGACCCAAAACCGCTTTTTTTATCCCGAAAACCTTACTCTTACCCTTAAAGAAATGAGGAGGAAACCCCCCTTGGGGAGGGGGTCAGGCCCGGGCACCGGAGAGGGGCTCCAGGGAGAGCCAGAGATACCCCCGCGTAATCGATCTATGCCGCCCCACAGCCGATACACCCTTACTTAAAACTGCAACGAAGGATTGGCAGCGTAACGCCGAAAATCGCTGCCCTATTTGTGGCCTGGGGGTGGCTGGGGTCGGTGGCTGGGACACACATTGGGCGCATTTCACGACGGGGCGTCATGGGGAGCCGGAAGGGCCCCGAAAATAAGCTGGGGATTGCAAGGATTCGACGTTATTACAAATTCGATTTACGATTTGTAGAGAACACGGCGCATCTTTGCGCACAAAATCATGGAAATCGTAGTTTGATTTTTGGCTTATAGGTGGATTCGAGGTTAAAGTTAAGTATTTAAGTGAACTTCAGCCGTTCCGGATAAGATCTCGCATGGTAGTCTGCGTAGATCTGATAGAGACTTGTTCCCCCGAGCCATATTTCTTGATAAACCCATATTTGCCTAGGCCAGCAATTGGCCCGTAGCGGCAAAATATAGAGAGTGTCGCGCACCCCTGCGATTCCATAAAAAGTTTGATTTGCTCAAATTTTCTTTGCCTGATCTGGCCAGCATCGCGTGCGACTGGCGTGGCCCATTTTCTTGGCGCCCCCGTCTTTTACCGTACCCCCATGCCAGATAATTTCAGCGCCTCCCTTCCTTGCATTGCTGTTTCCGCTGTGGCCCCTATCTCTTTAAATTACCATCACTAGCGATGGATCATTAGATACCTTAGGGATGTCTATTACTATAAAAAGTAGCAAACGAACGGTACCGTGCTAACCGTGCGACACCAGCTAATTTCCCAAATAACCCCGCCTGAACGTCTAAAAACTGTGATTCAACCAACCGTCAAAAAGCCCACTTTCCCCAACCTTTTTTCTTTGTATTTATTTCCAATTACCCCCGAAACCCCTTGCCTTCGTCGAAGGTAAGTGATCTCACCCGGAGATGCTTTCGTCGTCATTTCATTTGCACAAACATTTTATCATTATAACTTACAAATTGAATAAATGTCTCGAAATTTGCTTTCCGAAACAATTATTACCCGGGAAAATGGAGCGGGGCAACAACAGGCTTCAAAGAAGAAGGGAATATTTGTTAGCACAATTTGAAGATTCTGCACGGTAAATGAAATTTTGCCTTCACAATTTCAAAGGAAGGATTCAAAGGTTTTGAAAGGATTGCCCGAAATACGGAACCAGGTAACTAACATGCCTACAACCAGAACAGAAAATATTTCTGCTTCAAGCCCGTCTGGAAACCGGAAAAACAAATGAGTATCACAGCATTGCAGCAATTTACGTGGTTCGCCGGCTCAATCGGCAAGTTCTCCCGGCTCCATATCGAGATCGACTGGCAGCTCGACTTCATCAACAGGGCGTCCGGCGGCTTGTGGAGGGGCTTCATTGGTTCTTGCGGGTCGTGTAGAGTTGAAAATTTTCCCGGCCGTTTGTTCTCCAGCTGAAAAGGAAGATGCCGGGTCTCCTGGGTAAGGCAACCTAGAACCCAACTCTTTATTAGTCAATGAGGCATTTTTACGTGGTTTTTATATAGAGATGTTACGAATCAAGTAATATAATGACCAAGTAAATTTACTTGAACAACTTTATTTGCATCTGAAATTTTCAAGTAACTATAAAATTATTTTACGCCGTTTGCTTGAATAGCCTCAAGTAAAATAAAATTACTGTTATGATCTTGATTGATTTGGGAGATACTTGATTTTCAGGGAATTACTTGATTTTGTGCAAATTCGAATGAATCAGGCAATCGTGCAGCGAACCAGTAAATTAGCATGCGATCTGTCATAAGTTTACCATCCGAAAATGCCAGAATTCAGAGCTATTGTTTGTCAAGTAAATAAGAATTTACTTGGCTCTCCGAGCGGAGTAATAATATTATTTTACTTGGTCTGCTCAATAAATAATATGTCATTGTATGAACCTTGATTGTAATTGATCTTAACTTATTTTAATAGCACTAAACGTAAACGGAACTGAAAAAGGTTCACGTCGAGAACCTTAAAATACCCCCCCCCCGCCCCCCCCGCTGACAAACCATGTCCACTTTTACTAAAAAAGACGAGTAAAATACTTGAATATCAAAAATATAACAGACCGCTTGAAAACACTAAAAGAACCGATTCCTGGCTTTATCACTAATCGTCTTTACTATATACAGCTTTAAAAAGAATATTAATACCTTTGAGCATAGATGCCAAGTCTGATTGCGGGATTTCCTGTATGGCTTTCATGGCAAGGGTGAGGATCTCGGATTTTCCGTATCCCTAAAACCATTGAAAATACCCTCCAAAAGATTCAAAATACCTTAAGCTCCACCGGAACGAGAGGCTCATAGATCGACGAAGGAAGGAGAGCAAAAGCCTTCTTCACCAAAATTCTTCCATCATCCACGTATTTGTCGAACGAAGCGTCGGTATCTAAAGCCAGCAAATCAATTTGAGAGAGAAATCCCTTACCATAACCCTTGTCTTCTGGGATTGGAGTTTCCTCTTTTGGTTTAGATCGGGAGCGGGGCTCTAAAATTCAAATACAAAATTGTTAGTTTTTATTTCCAAACCTCCGTCTCCGGCGCGATGCTTTGTTTTCTTTTTGTGCTTCTTCGTGTCCTTTTTACGATGTATTATCTGTCTGGCAGGCTCTAAAAGCTCGTTAAAACAAAACCACGAGAGAAACCTGAGGAAGAACTGCTAGATGACGACGAGGAACTATCGTACCGCTTCCTCTTCCGGTGCTTCCTCCTCTCAGATTTTCGGGGAACCGGTGAATATGTGCCTAAACCACTTTCCCAAGAAGTATACTTACTGGACTAACTGGATCGACTCGTTGACGTCGAACGACTGCGATGGCGCTTCTTTTCCTTACTGCGGTGTTTCTTCGAGCTTTTCGAATGCTCTTTGTGCTGCTTCTTCTTCATTTTCTAAAGGCAAATGTTTTTCGCAGTTTGGAAAAACGCACCGCCATTTTTCATCGTAGAAATCCTGTTTTCCTTTTTTTGAATATTGGAGATCTTTTCCGAAAAAAACGAATGAGAATTTTCGAATGATTTTGGTGGCGTAATGGGGTTGCACGCTATTCAACGCCCTGGTTTGTCATTTGCAGCGCGCCGGACTCGAGCGCCCATTTCGAAAAATATGGGTTGCGCTAATAAAAAAACGGAGTTTTGCGCTTCCCTCATTGTTATATCTTTCTTCCCCCTGGTCTCTAAGACTTGCATTAGGTATAATTAACTTTTACGCTATCTTATAACTATCGTCAATCTAGCCTTCCCGTTTCCACCGTCGATTTTTCCAGTTTCTCACCAAAATAATATATTTTTTTACTTTTCAGCCTATGGCGAAGGTTATTCGTAACCAATGGGTCTTCCGGAAAGGCAATAAATGGCTCCGCTACCTGCCGAGAAGAAAAGATGGGCGCATGGGCGAATTCGACTACGCGAAGCAAGGGGCCACGTTTGAAGATTTCTGCGCATCACAAGCCGAAGCGTCGCAAGCTGCGCCATCGAAACTATGGGTCAGCTGGCTATATCGTGATTTGAGCGGCGAACCAAAATGGACGAAGGACCGTGTGCAAAAGCTTTTTGGTGCGGAACCGACCCCCGGAAAGATGGAGGTCTTTCCAAACACTCCGGCCTACAATGAAGAGCTGTGGAATATAAAACATCTGATCGAATTGCGGCCAATCACTTTTCCAAATGGGGAACCGACGAAGGCGGATGTCCATGCGTTGGAGCTCAAGCCGGATGGGAGCTGTGTTGTGGCGGAAAAACTGGCTGTCAGTGAGGAGCAGCTCAGGCTGTTTGACGAACAGAAGCAGCACACGGATAAAGAACTATCTTCACAATTGAACCGACGCTACTATGGCTTCAAAGACATCTTCGAGCGGAATGTCTATACCCCCTCCAACATTTCCATCATGAAATAATCGATTTGATCTCATTGTTTTGTTCGCCTTATGAGTGCGATTGTAGTTAGCATACTGGATTTCATCGTCTATCTTATGTAGTCTAGAGTTTTTTGTTTTCCTCGTTTGTTCTTGGTTTTTTAGGTGATTTGCTGCTATAAAGCGCTTTTCAGATGTCAGTGCAACCTGTCAACCCGAAGCCCTTCCTCAATGGATTGATCGGGAAACCGGTGGTCTGCAAGCTAAAATGGGGAATGGAATATCGAGGCACGCTGCTCTCGGTTGACGGATATATGAACGCCCAGGTTTGTCGCTTTCAGCATTTTTTGTATATTAATGAGATCTGATAAAAACACCATTTGATCTGTTTAAATTGCTACTTTACATCGCCGCTTTTTCAGCTCGGCAACGCGGAAGAATACATTGACGGCACCAACACGGGACAACTAGGCGAGATCATGATCAGGTACTGCCTTGTGGGTGGCTGATCGATTTTTTTAAAGGTGCAACAACGTTCTTTACATCGGTGGCGCGGACGAGGCTGAGGCTTGAAGATCGATGCTGTCGCGGTCCCCTCCATTACGTGTTCCTAATTTTCATTTTGACTTATTATTCGCTTACCGATCTCTTTGTTATTGAATTCTGAAATAAACTATGGAAACAAGAATTCGCTCGGATTATTTGACATTTGGTCGGCATCCAAGTCATTATCAACTTAATCTGTTCCCAATAATGGTTTCGGTCAATCTGAATTTACATTTGAGTGGTTCGCTTGAAAACAATAATTCAGGTGACGATGCCTTCGTCCCGCGAACCAAGTGCTGAACCCAGGTTCGCCCTTGTCCATTACATTGAATTCTCTTTTTTTTAGTGAACCAAAAACCCCGGAAGGTTCTCCAGAGAGGGAACGATCGTCAAAGTCACCCCCAGCAAAGGTAGAGAGTTCGCAATTTATCCTGACTTAAAAGCCGGTTTAGACGCCGGAAGCGGATTCGGGCAGTGAGGATGGCTCGTCGACCAATTCTTCACCAGAGGATCGGGGTCGTATAAGGAGCACTGTGCAGATTGTCAAGCCGAGGGAAAAGGACAGGTGTGACTTGCCGGAAGTCTGTAATGTTTTTTAGGTCAAAGTCGAAAAGTCGCTCGAATTCACCGCAACAATCGCCTGAACGTCAGCGACAGCGCGATGATTCCGGTGACGGGCGGAGGGACCGCAGCGATTCACGGGAACGTCGTCGAGATCGTAGTGATTCGCGTGATCGTCGTCGGGACCGAAGCGATTCGCGTGATAGGAGACGTGAGAGGAGCCGTTCTCGAGATCGTCGTCGTGAGCGTAACCGTTCCCGAGACCGCCGTCGCAGCCGCTCGAGGGATCTTGACCAGCGGAGGCGCACAAGAAGCCGTTCACCCGATCCCAAGCGCAGAAAAGCCAGCCCTGAGAAGGCCAAGGAAAACGAACCACCCAAAGAGAAAAAGGAACCCGTCGATTTGCTGCGATCACGCGCTGGCGGCGCTTACATCCCACCTGCAAAGCTGAAGTTGTTACAGGAACAGATCAAGGTTGTTTTCGTGCCACCACCAATTATGTATATTTTAGGACAAGTCCAGCGAGCAATACCAGCGTATGAATTGGGAGCGTCTGAAAAAAAAGATTCACGGTCTTGTCAACAAGGTGAATGCCGGCAACCTCGTCCAGATTGTCAGGGAGCTGCTGCAAGAGAACGTGATCCGCGGAAAGTCAGTTCACGATGGATGAATAACTTTTTATACCTATTTTTAGGGGAGTATTGACTCGCTCCATCATCCAAGCTCAAGCTTTCTCCCCTACATTCTCTCACGTATACGCCGCCCTGGTTGCTGTCATCAACTCGAAATTCCCGTCCGTCGGAGAATTGACACTAAAGTAGCTTTTTGACCGTTTTCATCATCCTCTTTTCCAGGCGTCTAGTCGTGCAATTCAAGCGCTCTTTCCGACGTAACGACAAGGCGACGACGGTCACTGTATCAAAATTCATTGCTCATTTGATCAACCAGCAAGTGGTACGTATTGTTGATTTTGTTCTCTTATTAGCTTCATATTCCAGGCTCACGAGCTGCTGTCGATGGAGATTATGCTACTCATGCTGCAGAAGCCCACCGAAGATTCTGTGGAGGTCTGCATCGCTTTCCTGAAGGAATGCGGTGCGAAGCTGGCAGATGTAAATTTTTAGCGTTTTTGATGAGTGCATTTCTTTTAGATCGCTCCGCGCGCTCTCGATTCCGTGTTTGCCCGTTTGCGTAACATCCTTGCTGAGGCCCAGCTGGACTCCCGCATTCGCTACATGATTGAGACGGCGATGGCCGTGCGAAGGGACAAATTTGCGGTAAATTAGCTACTGTCTATCAATTTCCCTTGTGTAGGATTACCCAGCATTGGTCGACGAACTCGACTTGATCTCTGAAGAGGATCAAATCACTCACACGCTCTCGTTGGAAGACGCTACGGATCCTGAGAATATGCTTAGTCAGTTTTCATGGCATATTTCTTAATTTTTCATTAGATATCTTCAAAATGGACCCTGAATTCGAAAAGAACGAAGCTGCCTATGAAGAAATCCGCGAACAGATCATTGGTGATGCCGGGGAAAGTAGCGAAGAAGAATCAGACGATGAAGATGAAGATGAGGAGAACAAGGAGCAAGGGGGAGCCGGTATTTTTATTGATTCATTCATTGAAATAGATGCTTCAGGAAAAGCCGAGCCCATGGAGATTATCGACAACACTGAGCAGAATATGGTCGCCTTCCGTCGTGAAGTCTACCTGACCATCCAATCGTCGCTAGATTACCAAGAAGCTGCCCACAAGCTGCTGAAGATGGGTGTCAAGCCGGAAATGGAGGTAACGAATAGTCACTTGCCGCTGAAAACACATTGTGCTAGTGGCAAATTTTGCTATTTGCATTGGTATTTGTGAAAGAGTTACTCGTTTTAGCCCGAGCTCATTCACATGCTGGTCGATTGCTGCGCTCAACAACGCACGTATGAACGCTTCTACGGCCTTCTTTGCGAGCGGTTCTGCAGACTGAAACGAGAATTCCAGGTTCAACAACCTGCTTTTTCTTTAGTTTTGTTTAGGCCACGTTCGAAACGATCGCACGTGAAACCTACACGACGATCCATCGCTTTGACATCACTAAGCTGAGGAACATGGCGCGTCTCATTTCACATCTCCTCTTCACCGACGCGATTACTTGGCTCGTGCTGAGCGAAATGAAGCTCAACGAAAATGATACAACATCTTCCGGCCGTATCTACATCAAGACCATCTTCCTGGAACTCGCGCAGATGATGGGGCTTGTGAAACTTTACGAGCGCATTCGTGACACGTAAGTTTTGTTTCGTTTCCTATTTGACGCTCACGTTTGCCCATTACAACCTATGGTTTCAGGACCCTGCAAGCGGCCTTTGAAGGTCTCTTCCCGCGTGACAATCCAGCCAACACTCGCTTCGCCATCAACTTTTTCACATTGATTGGGCTCGGCGGATTAACGTAAAAACTTCACCGCATTCCTTCATCTTTCTTTTAGGGTTGATCTTCGCGAGTTTTTGGAAAAGGGCGCGAAGCGCAAGAAGTCTGTTTCCGCTTCGGATTCGGACTCGTCCAGCTCCGATTCCGACTCTTCTAGTGATTCCGATTCTTCAGACTCAGATTCAGGTAGCCAGTTTTGATGGCTTTGATTCCTTTTTTTAGATTCGGATTCGTCCTCTTCGTCATCATCATCGTCCTCGGACTCTGATTCGGACGATGACGATAAGAAGAAAAAGAAGAAAAAGCAGGCGCCAGAGGCCAAGAAGGTTGAAGAAAGGAAGAGGAAGTCGAAAGACCAGGAACTACCACGACGGGTAATTTCATTTTTTTTGGTGGGAAAAGTTTTTAGGAAATTAAACAAGAAGTGGAATCGGACAGCGAGCGCAAGGAGAATCGGGATGAGCGCCGTCGTAGGCATGCGGATCGAGAGGAAGAGGACAAGAAGCCAGAAAGGCGTGACGATCGGAGGGATGACCGTCAAGAGAACAGAAGGCACGAGCGCCGGGATCGGGAAAAGGACCGCGACGACGATCGTGACAGGAGAAGAAAGCGTAGCGAGTCGCCACGGTAATTATTTATTATCGGTATTTGATTTTTGTATTCGAAAACGAGTGTAAAATCGCTAAATTTATTACTATTTTGAAAATATCCTTTTTCAGTCGTGAGCGACGCGATCGAGACCGTGAGCGCGGAGACGGGGACCGTGTCCGCGAGAAGCCCCGGGATCGTGAACGTCCACGTGATGATGGTCATCGTCGCCGATCAGTCTCGGCCTCACCGCCGCCCCGACGGAATCGAGAGCGTTCCTGATCTTTTATTTAACTTTAACTCCATGTTTCGGTTTGTGATTGGTTTATTGTTGCGAGGTTGTTAGCGAGCCGGATAAATGTTGATTCTCATTTTTTTGCCATCACAGTTATTTTCTGGTTGTTTGGTCGGAAGTTTTGTCTGTATGGTTTTTCCTGAGTGGAGGGCCCTATTCAAATTGCATTAGCCAACTGGCAATCAAGACGCGGGGATTTGCGGATTATCGGGCAGCCGGTAGACTGGGGAGTATGGAGTGGAGGTGGTTTCCCGCGGGGAGGCCGGGAGTAGTATGATTGGATGATTACAGGCCTCCACTTGCCGCCGAGGATTTCACTGGCAAGGGGGCACCAGATTGGATTTGAGCATCGGGCGGATGTTTGTCGGAACCGACAAAGTGAATCCTACGCATGCCTAAAGTAATCAGATTATAGTAGAGAAATTATGGTGGCGGCGATAGTCAACTTCACCTTATTTTAGGCGATGTATGCGCAGTGGTCAAGTAGTGTACCTGGATTGTGCTTTTAGTGTTCCGATAACAAAAACGTATCAAAACATTTTTGCAATTTGAAGTTTCCGCCCGGTTTGCGCCATATTTTATACATTTGACCAGGAAAAAGGGAAGGATTTTTTGCTTAAAAACGACTTAAAAACTAAAATTCCAAATAGTCTTTATCTGATTACCGGACCCAAACGAGATTCCATTGGAAAAATTATTTGACCCCCCTGCCGCTAAAATAGCAGTCTCGCAAAAAGAAGCAGCGCAGTATGCTCGAATTTTAGGTTGTTTCTTAGTTCCTTAAGTTGTTTTTAGAGATTATTTAATTTTTAAATTTACCTCGTTTCGGAAACCAATTCTAGGTTGACCCATTTCCAGCCGCTTCGAAATCCGCCAGTAAACCCCTATACAATTTTCAGAAACACTTTCCTCACCTGGTCGCCGCAGCCCTTTTGTGTTAACTCCAAGGTGCTGAGGGGCGAGGGCTTGATTGATGGCGTAAGACGAGTGGATGTGCTGACCCGTGCCCTTTGAATGCCCCCATAGTAGATAATCAGCAAGCGGCCGATCTACCCAACACAAAGAAGGGCCTCTAGTATTCGACAGTTCGCGGCTGCCCCCCGCACATTACCCCCTCCACCCCTTCATCATGATCACATCGCTGCACCGCGATCAGCCAGCCGCATCTGGCCCCGGGCAATGGTGTAAATTTTGGGGCGGCGCCTTTTCGTGTGTTGCGCAACGTGGGGGGTGGCTGTTGTCAACGGTGGGCAAACACCAATTATGTCATCAAATTTTTTGAGAAACTTTTTGATATTTAAGATACCGTTTGAAAGGGGCACTTTCACCAGCTCCTTTTTCCACAGGGGAAAAATTCGCATACAAAACGTCTGCACCTCTCACCAGGGCGCGCTCTATAACCGGAAATGCATGCAAATTTTTCCACGTTTCATGGAAAATCGGCGCTGCTGAAAGTGCCCCTTTCAGGGTTTCTCCTTTTTCACGATGCGTAACTGCTAGCCAGCCCTCGAGCCAAACGAGTTCAATACCAAGTATTAGAAGGTCTATTAGAAGCTTGCTGCGCTTTACGCCATCTAATAGATTGACATTTTTCAGATTTTTTTATGTCGTATTTCTCAACGATTTCTGCTAGCCTGCCCCGATGTCAAATTTACCCAGCGATGCATTCGTCAGCCAGACATTTAAGGCGACTCACAGACTAGACAATGAATTTCGCTGGCTACGGTATCCCGATCATTTTCGTTCGCTTATTCTCTATAGATTTAACCGCCCCGGTTTCGATGTCGTAGTGTATTGCCAGCTGTTCAGGACCGTCTAGAGGTGCCGGTTGCGTGTCCATAGGACTCCATATAGCCGAATCCACAGGAAGTCAATATCTTGTCCGTCCCTTCAAAATTGCCCGATTACCCAAAGCGCCCCTGCGAGCCTCCCATGTTCAAACCAATGTCATGACGGCCTGGTACGGTAGGAGTGACCGAGATCTCGAGTTTCCAAGGCCCACTCCCACGCCTCGCAACATCCGTCGAAAAAGCTAATAGGGAATCGCCGGGGGTAAAATAAAGGTCACTGGCAGCCCTAGGGGAGCGACACCGCATTTGCATCCGAGAGACCGGAAACCAGGCGCGAAATGGCCATTCGCAGCGGGGGCGCCGCATAGCGCTAATTTCGGGGGAGATGGTCAGCGAGGAAATTTTGGGGGTCTAAAGGCGTTAGAAAGGGTGAGCACCGGTCGATAGATACCCAAAATATTTGGAACTGTTTTGAGGGAAAGTGTGCAAGCTGCGGAAGAGGGCAAATGGAGCCGTGGTCATTATCTGATTTGACGGGAGGTTGATTGGGGATGATTGGCGAGATATCTTTCATCGGGGAAGAGCCACGGATCCTTGGCTGCACACTTCACAGCTAGCCGCTAATCCGGCAGTGACCCACGCCGGACGATACCTTTTCGGAGGAAGACGGTAGACTTCCGATGGTTGGTAGAAAGTATGGCCGAGGGCGTTGGCAAAGATTTTTGGAATTCAGTTGTTATCAAGAGATTGGCTAGGAGAAATAGAGAGAGAGAGAGAGGGGGGAGAGAGAGAGGGATAGAGAGAGAGAGAGAGAGAGGAGAGAGAAACTTGAAAAGTGAATCTAGCTGCCTGTCATCCGAAATTTGTATAATTAGCGAGAGCGTGAGAGCGAGAGAGAGGGAGGTGGGGGGAGAGGTAGCGGAGAGACAATGTGACGAGAGGGGGATAGAGAGCGAGAGAGAGCGAGAGAGAGTGAGAGTGAGAGAATGAGAGATATAGCTGCAAAGACAGAGAGAAAAATGAGAAATCGTGAGAGAGATTGGATGAGAAATCAGAAAATAAAAGTCAGTGTAAAATTCCCCGAATTTTTTTTTGCTAAATCATCACCCCTATTTTTCTTTCTTTCTCCGACACAGTTTTAGTAGACCATATGGCTAATAGATTATCAAATAGACCGCATGTACATCTCTCTCGCGCTCTCTCTCTCTCTTTCCCTCTCCCTCGCTCCATTCTCCTGTCATCATCCATCAAAATCGGTTGTTCGACCGTTTAGCCGCGTCCTCTCATCCCTTACATATTGACACGTGTCGGAAGCGTGCGGACTTATGATCCCTCCGGCATCGCCTACATGCAAATCATTTATCGAGTATCGGGTGTTTCCTCCTGTAAATGAGCCCCCAGGCTGTATGCAGATCTTTTCAGCGGGTCCGTCTCCCACGACATCGGTCCTCTAAACATCTGCGGGTGGCTGTAAATTAATGTTCCCCCAGGGTATCACCCGAGCATCAGCTCGTTTTCGGTGCCTTGGGCGGTTAGGATGGTAATTTGTGCTTCCGATTTGGGTCTGTGGCCGTGTGAAATGCGGATTTCCTTAATTTTCTTGTTACCCGAGGCTAGAAAAGTTTTTTTCAACGCTGGTCTGCCATTTTTAAGGTGGAAATAGAGCGGAGTGTGACTTTTTCGAGATAATAAATCGATACTTTGTGAAAATATGCTAAAATAAATTTAGCGAAAATCGAAAAAGGATGAATTTCGATAAAAATTATGTTTCGCCTAAAGCAAAAATCACAAAATAGAGAATGAATAAGTTCTTAAGGTAGATCTCCCATTTTTTAAGGTCTCAAAATATGTGTGAAAAAGCTGGAAAAGCTTAAATTCAGTGAAAATTCAAATTGAATAAATTCCTTTTCATTTAAAGCGACAAAAATTAAAATTTGGGCTAATAAATGGAATTTTCGGAATTTCAGTTGTTTTAGACAGCGGATAAATCAGATATTTTTTGTGGCAGCGTCTGGATTTTTTAGAAAAATTCCGAGCCGTATTTCTTGTAGAGCTGCGCAAGGGTTGTAAAATGATGTATAAAACGTCAAAAACAAGTCTTTTGGTTTTTAGAAAAATTCAAAACATTAAAAAATTTCGCATTTGAGCACGGAACGGGCGGTATGCCTTAAAAGACACCTCAGCCCGGAGAGGAGCCTACTCGCTCTTTCTCTCTCTCTCTCTCTCTCTCTATCTCTCTCTCTCTCTCTCTCCTCTCCGGGGGAGCATGGTTATGGGCTACGGTAGGTCAGGGAAGGGCGGAGTCTTTGGGCTGCACCCCCATCCGACCACCTTCGTGGATGATAGCCATTCCCAAAACGGGACGAACCCCTGGCCCGTACCATTCGAAGCTGTTCACACTTCATTGCTGAACCCCCCGAAGGCGCTCCATTTTTCCTTGGCGTTCTTCTGCTTGAATTTCTGTACCTTAAGCCGTCACGATGACGGCCGACCCGTCGAATTTGGCGTTTACCCATATTCTGGGGCAGGTGGGATTTTTTTTGCCTTCTTTGGCTTTGGGCTCTGGCTCAGGCTTAGGCTTGGGATAGACATAGTTTGGACTTAGACTTAGCTTAGGCGGAGGCACAGTTTAGGATCAGACTCAGTTTGGACGTAGGCTTAGGCTTGGGCTTAGCTTCGTTTTGGGCTTAATCAAGGCTTAGGCTTTGGGCTTAGGCTCAGGCTTAGGCTTAGGCTTGAGCTTGGCTTACACTTAGGCATGGCTGAGGCTTGGGCTTAGCTTGTTCTTAGGCCTAGGCTTCGCGCGCGCCATAAACAATCCGCAGCCAATAAAAACGTTGTAAAATTGTAGCCGTCAGTAGATAAAGTTCCGTAGCTTACATTTAGAATGAAAAATTCGGATTTTTTGTATTTTCGCTTCCTAATCAAAATCTTTGAAGGGCCGCGTGAACCAGCTCGGCGGCGTGTTCATCAACGGCCGGCCACTGCCGCAGCATATACGGGCGAAAATCGTCGAGATGGCGGGGAATGGCGTGAAGTTGGTATTTTTTTCGTAGAGAGAGAGAGAGCGAGAGAGAGAGGGGGGGGGGGGGGGGGGGGGGGGGGGGGGGGGGGGGGGGGGGGAAGGAGGAAAAAAAAAGAGGGGGAAAATTTTTTTTTCTAAATTTTTCCCTTTTTATTAAAAACCCCTTCTTCTTTACCTACTACGTACGTAATTACGTAATAAGGTACGCTAACGTAGCTAATCCGGATTTTTCAGGCCCTGCCAAATTTCTCGCCAACTTCGCGTCTCCCACGGGGCCGTGTCGAAGATCCTCAACCGTTTCGCGGAGACGGGCAGCATTTGCCCAGGACAGGTGAGGCTTTTTGGGCATATTTTTCGATCTAAAACTCCATACCTACGCTACGTTACACTCCCCTGGACGCCACGGTTCCGCGCGTCTCGTTATTACTGGAAGAAAACGATGGGAACTGTGCGCTCGTTCGAACCGGGTTACTGTAGCCCTCCTCCCCTCCATGGCTACAGCGCGAATAGCGGGCAGTCGGCTGTGGCGTCCCGCTATGCAAATCACAGCAGGGGACCGCGCTCTCATCTCTCCCGCCCGTATTGCTCCGATTTTCACTCGGATTTCTTAGGGTCGTTTTGGCTCTGTATTTCTCTCTCTCTCTCGCTCTCTCTCTCTCTCTCTCTCGGTCTCTCTCGCTTCTTCTCACTTCTCACGGCTCCTATTTACGCGCATCTTACACACCCATCCCGCTGTGACGGGAGGGGAAAGGGGTACGGTAGTCTGGGGCTTACAAGCTTATGTGCTAGGCTTCGGCTTAGGCTTGTGCTTAGCCTTAGGCTTATGCTTAGATTTAGACGTAGATTTCTCATGTTCATTTTCCCCTCTCCAGATCGGCGGCAACCCCCGCTCGCGTCTTCCCGTCCAAGCCGTCGAGCGTCACGTGCTCGATTGGCATGACGCGAACCCGGAATTGAGCCCCGCCGAGATCCGGGAGAAGCTCATCGAGACCGGTAGGTTCGGCGCAAAAAAAATTGGCTCTTGAAAAGGCTCAAAAATACAAAAGTTTTCAGCCGTTTGCTCTCGCACCACTGCCCCCAGCGTGTCGTCGATTGGGCGCCTGACGCGTACGCTACGCTCCTCTGGACAGTCGACGAGCAGCAGTTCTGTGGTAAGGAGGGAGTGAGAGGGAGCGAGATAGAGAGAGAGAAAGAGAGTGAGAGAGAGAGAAGGGGGGTGAAAAGCGGGGGGAGAGAGCCAGTGAGATTTTCAACTTTTGTAAACAATCAATTTCAGAGTCCGGTCCGTCTCGAGCCTCCTCCGCCTCCGAAGAAACGATTGAGCTACTCGATCGACAGTATTTTGGGACTATCTTATGGTGGGTCAAAGAGAGAGCGAGAGAGAGAGAGAGAGAGAGGTGAGAGTGCGACATACCTAACTACTATGAATTAATGAGGGGAACCCGATAACGCCCAGCTAGCTATCACCAACCGATTAATCTACAGCCAGTAGATGGCATCTTTGCGTACTCTCGACGGAAAAGAGTATTTTATGGGCTGCCGAATGAGTAATTGTGTAAGGAGACACTTTGGGGGGAGGGTGACTCTCGCGATGATGGCTCCTATTCTGCAACTAATTGTAAGGGCATTGAGAGAGAGAGAGAGAGGGAGAGAGAGATCGAGTGAGAGAATGATATCAAGATTATCGTCGCGATCGTCGCGCGACATCCCCACTCCTTCGCACCTGTCATTTGTAGGCAACTGTAGCGCGCGCGGGGACCTTAGCTTGGAAGAGAGAGCCAGAGTGAGAGAGTGAGTGAGGGCGAGAGAGCGAGAATAAAACCCATGGCAAAAAAGAGTTCAAAATAGCGGATGTTTTCTATTTTTGATCATTAATTTTTTTAGTTACTTACCTAGTTATTTTTATTATTTACGCTTAAAGGGGCTTAAAAGAGAAGCCGATACGTTTTCGCGCGCACGCGACACGTAACGCGCACGCTACGCCTTGGAAGGGCGGACGTGCGTTACATATTCCGCTGCGTTAAAATCCATAAGAAACCAAAGTCCCAAAAATTGATAACCATCAGTTGCCAATCCCTTTCAACCCCCTAATTAGCATTCCAAAAGCCCTATATTTCCACTTGTTCCCTACCCACAACCGGACATACGGTCCTTTGCCTAGGTCCCCAGATAAGAGGCGGACCGCCAAAAGCTGGCACACGCACAAAGACCCCTCCACCTGTTGAGACGATAGACGAGAGAGAGAGAGAGAGAGAGAGAGAGAGAGAGAGAGAAAGAGGTGGCCTTGTAATCCACCCGAGAGATTTCCCGCAATGCGAATCAGATGTTCGCGGCCCGTTTGGGGCAATGGCCCTTCATGGCAGACAATAGGATTAGGGGGGGAAGGAACATAATGGACCACACTTGGGGTAGAGATTAGGCCTTGTTGGCTGGGGTTTATGGAAAGAAAAGGGGGTTTGGGTACCGTGTAAGTTGGTATTTTTAGGATCCGGAATTAGGAGGAAAGCGTACTTTCTAGAATGAAAATGGGCAAAAGCTTGATTTTCATCGCGTCGTCGTTAGAGGGAGAAAGAGCGATAGAGAGGAGAGAGAAAGAGAGAGTGAGAGAGAGAGAGAGAGAGGAAAGAGAGATAGAGACATAGAGCGAGAGAGAGAGGGAGCCAGAGAGAGGGAGCAGGAGATAGAGCGAGCGAGAAAAAATAATATTAGAGCTAATTCAAACAAAACCCCAATATTTCCAGACGACACGAAATCCTGCACCTCAAACTCCTCCTCATCCGATGACGATCTGGCCCTGTCCCCAAACGAACCCCGCCGAAATCGCACGTCTTTCAGCAGCGAACAACTCGAGGTGTGTAAAATTGGGTAATTTTCCCTAAAAAACCAAATGCATTCTGAAAATAAACTTTATAACTGATTTTAGCTGCTCGAGGAGACTTTCCGAAAGAATACGTACCCGGACGCTGCCGAGCGCGAATCGCTGGCGATGCGGACGAAGCTGAACGAGGAGAAGATTATGGTAATTTTTTCATCAGTATTTTGAGAACCTGAGCGTGTCGTTTTTACGATAATTTTATTGTCTTTTAGACCTGGTTTTCGAATCGACGCGCACGCTGCCGGAAAAGTATCCCACTGAATTTTGCTGCCAATTTGTCGGGTCTTGTCGCGCCTGCAATGCAACCACAACAGACGGTAAGTTTGGCGGAATAATTGGATGTATATTAAAGTGCGGCAATGTTAATTTTCGCGCTTTCTAACGCATTAAAAATTCACCGAAATATTTCCGACTTTTCAGCCTCTCCCCTTCCCGCCAGGCCTTCAATTCCTGCTGCCGCCGCAATTCCTCTTCCCCCAGTTCCTCGGCATCAACACTCAATAGAATTATTTATTGTATACCGTATACTTTATTGTCGTTAGAATTGGTTCTTAAAAACCCTTAGATTCCATGTCTCCTATGTCTCCCACAAAGTTGTTTTCCTCCCATTGGGTAGTGTCGGGTCCTAGATATCGCAGTTACGTGCTGCTATTCGGGATAGATTTGATTCGTCGAACTGTGTTTTTAATAAAGTTTTGTTTCTGAAATTTGGCGAAGCACATTGGACCATTCGGAAACATTTGAATATCGAATTTCCTCTAACCAGGGTTATCTTTCTCTAACAACGTAACGTAAAATAGCTCCGCCCTTTTTAGTAACATCGTGTTTTCGTAAGGGACAGCGCAGAATATTGCGCTGATTCCGCCTTCAAACACTGCCAACAATCATTTTCAAAAAGTTATGAAGCGTTTCAGGGCTAAAAAAAGAATAATTTTCCGAAATTGGGCAATTCTGGGCGTTTTTGGAACTGAAAACCGTCAAAACCTTTTGGGATCGGCTCGTTTCGCAGATTCTGAAGCCAGGTCTGGAACCAGCGCAAAATCCTGCACTAGTTAAGCTTAGTCCGGTCCGAAAATTCGATTGTCGCAAAAACCTTGTAAACCGAAGTCTACGTAGTTGACGCTAGCCACGAGCAACGGGTCGATTCCTACGTTTGCTAGTCGCATTCAAAAGATTTCAAAACAATTCTTAGCAAAAATTTGTATTATGAGTGTCTAATGACCCGAGTGAGCCTCCTCGGCCTTCAATCCGGATCCATCCCAACATCCAACTCGACCATTTCCCGGACATTCAATTCTCAACCCGCTATTTGAGAACACACAGCTCGATGGGCTGTGAACGAAATGATGGGGTGTCGTTTAGCCATCCCCTCCATACAATACGATACAATACACTTGACAGGGAAGAGAACAACTAGCTGGGTAAGGGGGAGGGGACCCGGCACGCGTCTCCCCTCTCGTGCTCCACTCCCCCCACTACCCCCTCAGGGCTACCGAAAGGCATACGGTAGCGGGGAGCAAGAAGTGTTTGCAAGTGGGGATAGGCTGTGAGGGCTGTGAGAACGGACCCATCACAATCTGGCAAAAGAAGCGCACACAAGGGGAAGATGCCGGGAATTGGCCGGGGCAGCGGATAATCCATGTGGAGGAATGGAGCTGCGGGGGTTTAAAGGGACTGGCAAGGCATGCTTATGGATTTTGAAGGCTGGAATCAGGGGAGGTTTGGCACGAAGTGAAAGTGAGACATCGAATTGCCCCCGGAACCATTTTCTGTACAATTTTGAGCTAATCACGAATCCGGTTTTAAATTTTTCGTGATGACCATATTTAAAAGATTACAGTGCTTCTCCTTACGAAAAATTCGAAATATCGAAATTCACACTTTAGAGGCCCTTTAAAAGGCCATACCTTGCGACACTCAAATGGTCTATCTAGCTCAGGAAAACGTGCTCTTTTTCACTCTTTCTCGAATTTTGCAAAATGGGAATGTGGTTCTAAAATTCTAGAAAGCTGTCCGGAAATAGCTCATACGAAAGAGCACGTTTTTCTGACCCCAATCCACTATTTACTTTCACAAAATATTATTCCAGGGCTTTTTAAAGTCCTCGAAAGTCCGGATTTCTGGTATTCGTGAGAAAAAGCAATGTAACTTTTTAAACTTAGTCATTCCGGAAAATCTAAAACCGGCTTCGTGATCAGCGCAAAATTCTGTAGAAGATTGGCTTGGTCCCAATTCGAAGTACCACCTGCAATTCTTGCTCTTCCCTTGTTAGGCTTAGGCTTCGCTTAACCCCCTTAACCTCATTTCCAGCACCTATTCAAGGCCATCTTTCCGTTTGAAGCTCGACAATTCGACGGGCGCGGGCTGTTCGAGCATAAACACCTCGGTTCCCAGATGTTTTTCATCGGCAGAAAGAGCGCGAGAGCGTCGGCTCATTTGTCCCCATCAGCCGGAGTTCCGATCCGCAATCATCCTGCTCTGCGTCTCTTGCCTTACCTCTATCTCTCCCTCTTCCACCCTCACCCATTCCATTCATTGCCATATATTTGGGTTGTTGTAATGGGCGTGTGAAGCCGGGGGGTCCCGGCCATTTGTCACTCGATGTTGAGATGGGGGGAACTGTAGGTCGCGCTCTCTCTCTCACTTGCTCTCTCGCTTGCTCTCTCTCTCCTCTCTCTCTCTCTCTCTCTCTCTCTCTCTTCCTCTCTCTCTCTCTCTTCGCCACCTACACGATACTTGGAGGAGCCCGGTCATTTGCTAGTCAACCGGTGAGGTGAGATTTGAAAGGGGGGACCGGCGTTTACCCGGGGAATCGGTTGAAATTCTTTTGGAATTCTTGCTCAAAATACCGACATCTAAAAGTATCGACAGCCCAAAATCCCGACAATAAGATGATTAGGAGAACCAAAAGACGCACAAATTTGAATTTTCGATGCCGGTTTTCGCTGTCGGCATCGTGATCGGTTTTCGACATTTTGTCGGTATTTTTAGGTGTCTCTGAGATCGACAAAGAAACCGACCACTTAGATATGCGCAAAAAATTCCGGCACCCAAATACGCCCATAAAACACCGACAGCCAAAAGTCCGACACGAAAACTTTCGAACAAAATCCCCTGTATTTTGTTCAGCTTTTTGGGCGTCGGCATTTTGGCTTGTCGGCATTTCCGGTAGCGCCAGGATAGCTTGCCCGTATTTCGAATGTCGAATTCTGGTTTGGTTGTAAAACAACAAGTTTAGGTTTTTGTGTGCGGGCTTTTTAGCGGGTCGGCATTTCCGGTAACGGCCTGTTAGCCTGTCGGCTTTCTGTTTAAACGATCAAAAACAACCCTAAAAAGTGTAATTGATCAAGAAAAAATACGCATCGATCAGCTTTATCCATTGCTCAAAAACCCGTTTTTCGATCGACCGGAACTCGGCCAAAAATTACGCAAAAATCTCGCAAATGAGATGATGGGTGGGTAGAGCAGTGAGTCCTGCTATTAAAATGCCGACAAATGAGGCCGGTGACACGGAGGACATTGCGAATTCACGGTCGGCTGGGTGGCTCTGGAATTTTCGGGTGAATTTCGGGCTGTAAACGTACGAGTTGGTGGACGTGGCGGAGACAGTGAATGTAGGCCGATCCGTTGGAATAGCCGAGAAGCCCCATAAATGCGAGAACTAGGGCCAGATGGGGCAGACGGAGCTCGTGGGCCGCCGCTAGGAGCAGGAAAATGCAGAGGAGGCCCTGGAAATGGTCGGTTAGCTTTTAGGCTTGAGCTTGGGCTTAGGTTAGGCTTGGGATTGGCTTAGGCTTGGCTTGAGCTTAGCTTGGGCTTACTTAGGCTTCCCTAGTCTTGGCTTAGGCTTAGCTTAGGTCTGGTTTGAGCTTTGCTTGTGTTTAGCTGTGGTTTAGCTTTGGTTTGGCTGGGGCTTGGAAGAGTATTAGCTTCGCATGGCTTAGGTTTAGCTTAACTCAGGCTTAGCGTAGGCGTAACGTAGGCTGCGGCTCAGCTTACTCTTAGCTTAAACTCAAACTTGGCCCTACCTGCAGAAGCGGAATCGAGAACAAAACCCGCTTTCCCACCGCCATCAAATGCCCGGTGGACTTGGCGATGAAGCCGCCCGAGTTGTAGAGCACCTAGAATAGCATAAACTGGATGGTATGAGTTCCCTTCGATACCTGATACCACCTAAACTGCGCGTTCGGGGATAGCCCAAATGCTTGTAGGCATGGAAACACCAAAAACGTGCTCTAAAAATTGCTTTTTCCGAGCCAGAAATCACTGACCAGTCCCTGGAGGATGAAATAGCAGAAGAAATAATTTACGACAATTGCCATGGTATAGGGTAAAATATTCTGAAATCCTATTTTTTACAGAAACGGTTTGTAATACTACCATAAAAATCTCAAACGGATGTTTGGCTTTTGCGGGCAGCTTCTCCGAGTTAGTGTCGCTTTTTATCGCCGATTTTTCATCCTAAATACCATATTTTAAACGCGAAAAATGGTCACGAACTTCTTGAGGATCTCGTAACACGCCGAGGTAACTGAAATTAGTTGAATTCTATTAATTGAACGGTTGGAAACTAACGTGAAGAGAAGTAGGGCTGGCACGAGGACGAGCGTTAAGAGGACCACACCCGGGGATAGGCCAAATGTGGCTTAAAAAAATATTCATAGTGTTAAGAAAGCGCGCTTACTTGTCGCTATCGCATAAAATAAGGAGCCCAACATTCCGGCCATACCGCAACCGCACGAGTACGCGGAGATTGTATTTCTAAAAGTAGAAATGTTTTGGACAACGGTGTGTCCGATTTTTACGATTTAGGTATCTAATGAAAGCTCTCGGAGAGGCGAGCCTCGGATTTTGTCTCGGATTTTCGAAATGCTGCCATTTTCTTTAGATTTACTAATTGTTTCCGAAACTAGCAAATTTATCTTTTTCGGATGAAGGGTGTTTTACAAAAACGTCTGAAAAACCGTAATCAATGAATTTTTGCGTATATTTTTTGTGGATGCCCAAAGAGAGCTATTTCGAAAGCGCGCCATAGCTCATACGATAGAGCTTGAAATTGTGAATAGACTCAAAACTTTCAAAAATTGCTACACGTACTACGGCCTCTTGGAAAACCTTGCTTTTAGAAAGCCGATTTTCCCGTTTTTAGACGGCTTCATGGCTGTTTTGAAAACTTTCCAAACCCTCAACAAACTTGTGATATCGTGAAGATAGAGCAAGGAAGGTCATCTCGCCGATACCAAGGGATAGGCTGCCGACGGAGACAGCTAAAATCATGCTCGAACATAGCGTCCATTAATACCGAATAATGTTATAGGTATATTTGTGGCGATGGCGGCAACGCTGAACGAGGCAAGCTGGCAGACAGCTATGGCCAGGATTCGGATCCTGGAATTAATTTTATAGGTATTACACCGGATTACTATAAATTAAAAGGCCCCCTCAGGCCGATGGTCCCAAATTTTTCGGCATTTCGCTATTTTGTCGGGGTTTTCGCTCCGCAATTTGATAGACGATCAAAAATATACCAAGAGTTTTAATTTCAGCTCAAAATAACTAAGCTAAGAAAGTTATAGCAAAAAATATTTGGGGACCTCCGGCTGCGGGGGGTAGAAACGTTTTACCAAGCAAAAACCCCAAATTCGCATGACCTTTGGCAAAGCACAAAACCACAAAAATCTTTATTTTTCTCATTTATCACGAACCGATTTTCAGCGTGAATTTTGGCACGTAACGGTTCCTTTTTGCGGTACTATCTATCTGTCATCGAGCACCTGATCTGACCAAACTAGTCAGCGGTTCGAGATCAGCAGGGCCTTTGTTCCGGCACACACCCGGTTGACCTTGGCCGATCAAATATACACGTCTTTCTCCGAATGTTTCCTAATGACGCGTGGTCTGATTGTACCCGCATGTGTCCGCAGCAATCTCGACCGCACGATCTCGCGTTCGAATTTAACCGAAGAACGGTAAAAGCGGTGATTGTCTTTTTGACCTTTGAAAGTGAGAAAACCCACACAATGGGAATTTTGTGTAGAAAGATGGGGCTGATGAGTTGGATGATGGCAGCTGGCAGAACGTTGCAGAGCAGTACAGCTCCCGTCGAGACGGGCCCACATCGGAAGTCCTCACTAGTGGCCTGAAAAATTGGCTTCAGGAGATTTCGGTCTCGGAGTAGGGTTACGTTTGGGCTTAGGTATAGGCTTAAGCTTGGACCTAGGTATAGGCTAGGCCTAGGCTGAGCTTAGGCTTTGTTTAGGTCTGCGTAGCCTTGAGGTTCGGCTTAGGCTTAGGTTTAAACTTGGCTTAGGCTCAGGCTAGGCTTAAGTATAGCCTTGGGCTTAGGTTTAGGTTCGAAGAAAGAATCATACCAAACAAACATCGGCCGTGCTCTCATTCTCATGTTTCTGATCCCTAGCCAGCATGTCCTTGGCCCCAGTCAGCATCACCACATATCCCAAGTTCGAGCAGACGCCAAATAACCTAAAAGACGCTTTAAATTTAACTCAATCCACCCACCAAAAAGCAAAAAAATTGCGCGTTGCTGTGGATGACGACGTCGGGCAGTTCATCTAGCGTTTTTTGTGCGGGGGTTTGGGGATATATTTCCTCATTTTGTACCCCGGAACCGCCTGGAAAAGGGGGAGGAACCGACCTGACTAGGGGGCCGAGAGAAAAGGATTTAAAGAACGAGCAAAAAAGGAATAAACTCCTGCTCATCATCATCATCATGATCCAGCACATGACAACGACATCAGCCGTTAAATTACTACCTAGAAAAAAGAAGATAAGAAAGCACAATTTTTTTTATTTATTACCTAACATAATATTTCTTTGGGTTTTGAAACTAGAGGTCAAAAGCATGGCTTAATTAGCTCAGGCTAGCTTAGGCTTAGCTTACACCTTGCTTAGGCTTACCTTCGGCTTGGCTGGGGCTTAGCCTAGGTTTCGCGTTGGCTTAGCAAGCTTGGGTTAAGCTTAGCTTTGACTTGGCTTGGGCTTAGCTTAGGCTTAGCTGAGGCTTAGCTTAGGCTTAGCTTAGGCTTAGCTTAGACTTAGCTTAGGCCTAGCTTAAGCCTGGCTTAGGCTTAGCTTCGGCTTGGCTTAGGCTTAGCGTACTTAGCTTCTATTATCTTGGCGTCTAGGCCTGTTGCTTCAAAACTGTAAAACCGGAAACATAAATTAGAATATCCCAACTACGAATATAAAATTTGAATCCGGAAACGCACCGTATAAGCGGAATTCTACCCGAGAAATCGATTTCCCCAAATCTATCCCATTCTTATCTGCTCAACGGCAAATGAAGGTCAGTACTTTTTTTGAACCTGGTCTCAATATTCTAATATTTGCGATTTTTTTTTTTTTTTTTTTTTTTTTTTTTTTTTTTTTTTTTTTTTTTTTTTTTTTTTTTTCTTTTCTTTTTTTTCTTTTTTTTTTTTTTTTTTTTTTTTTTTTTTTTTTTTTTTTTTTTTTTTTTTTTTTTTTTTTTTTTTTTTTTTTTTTTTTTTTTTTTTTTTTTTTTTTTTTTTTTTTTTTTTTTTTTTTTTTTTTTTTTTTTTTTTCCCCCTTTTTTTTTTTTTTTTTTTTTTTTTTTTTTGGTGAGATATTTTTTTTTTTTTTAAGGGGGGTTTTTTTTTCTTTCTCTTTTTTTTTTTTTTGTTTTTTTTTTATATTTTTTTTTTTTTTTTTTTTTCTTTTTTGGGGGGGGGGGTTTTAAATCGAAAAGGGGTTTTTCCGCCCTTGGTTTATTCATTAAGCAGATCTATTTTTTTACGTAAGCAAAAATTATCTTCCAAACGACTTTTCTAGGGTGTCACGCAAGACAGCCCCTCCTCGGCCTCGGCGCCCGCGCCCGCATCGGCGAACAGCTCGCTGCGCAGCCAGTCTGCCTCCCGCAAGGCCACCAAAAGCGATGCCAGCAAGAGGAAGTCGCACAAGAAGCCGGTATTCTGATTTATTAACGCTAGATTCTCTCTTTTTCTAGTCTCGGGACGCGCGCAAGGATCTGTTCAACAGCGTCGGCCGCGTCAAGCACCGCTCCAAGGCGTCGAAGCGCTCGTCGCACAAGTCGAAGAGCCGTCGCTCCAAGGTATCGACTGAACTCCAGATACCCCCCAGCCTGCCCCACTTTTGTATCTCGGCTCCCTGTCGATCTACAGTTGTGTAAAGCATTCCAAAATACTCGCCAGAGCAAGACGAACATTTTGGTATACTTTACACAACTGTAGATGAACAGGGAGCCGAGATACAAAAATTGGATGCGGGCTGGGGGGTGGGGGTCAAACTGCACTCTAACCTAAAATACTCGTTGAGAAACGCTCGAACAAGTCGCGAAAGAGGAGCACCTCTGCCGTTGGCTCGTACGCTCCGGCCGGCTCCGACGTCGACGAGGCCTCCTATGCCTACATGATCTGCGCCAAGGTGGCCGTCTCGCTGCTGTGCCTCGTGCAGGCGTTCTTCGTCTGCTACGTCTTTATCGGGTTCATCTTGATCGAGAAAAGTCTGCCCGTGTCCACCGGATTGGTACGATACGGATGATACCAAAATTAGAATATTTTCAGCTCGTGAGCATGCTGCACCTGATCGTCATCTCGCTGTCGGTGGAGATTGTCGTCTACTCCACCAAGCGTACCTGCTCATCTACCGCTTTCTAATGGAATCTCAGAGCTTTGCCTGTTCGTGATGGCCTCCGACCTGTGCTGCGTGCTCACCTCGTTCCTCTACATTGCCATCAAGGAGTCGGCCGAGCGCGAGCCGGGCTACTCGACCATGCAGAGCCTCGAGCTGCTGCGCAACAGCGTCGTCGTCACGGCAGAATCGTGTCTTCTACTGGTAATGGAAGTTTGAGCTTTAAAATTCGCGGTGAAATTTTGCATTTTTGTCTAATTTTAGCGATTTTTCATACATTTTCGAACAAAAAGCTAAGATGTTCTAAATTTTTTAGGGTGTAGATTTGTCGGAAGATAATGTGAAATTTGTTAAAACTAGCGTTATTTAATTATTCCGCCTCTACAGAGTCACCCGCAGAAATTTGCTTGCTTTGCTTGCGCGTGGAAGCACCGGACCCAAATCACAATATCTCGGCTGCTTGCTAAGCAATCCTGTAAAGTATACCAAAATACTCTCCAGGGCAAGACGAACATTTTGGTATGCTTTACAGCCCTGTAGCATACCGGGTTACCCAGATACGAGACATAAACCAAACCTACTCGGCCCTTAGGTGACCAACTTGTGCCTGATGGTCACCCTCTATTCCGAGATCAAGGCCGCCGGCAAAACGAAGGGTTTGATGGACGTTGCTCTTTACACTAGTGCACCTTAGAATACACGGTCAACAACATTGGGGTGTCGCTGCACAAGTACGACATTGAGTACGGGGCCCCGCGACAGCCGGCCGTCAAGTCGAAGCGTGGCCCGATTGGCAAGTTGGTCGCCTACGGGGCCGACTCGATCGGGATGGGCGCTGCAAAGGTATGGTTTCCGTTAAATAATTCAAGGACTTTATCATTTGTTTTTAGAAGGAGGACGTCGAGGCGCCGAAGGACAATTCGGGAAGCTGCCGCCGCAAGCCGGCTACCGCCCCGGAGTCGAGCTGCAAGACGGCCCAGCCGGCCTCTGGAGGATTGGGTATGCCATGCTATTAAATGCCTTAATAAAGTGAATAGATGCTCAATAACAAAATCAATAGGAATAAAAGTAAAAATAAATAATACTAATAGCAGGCAAGATGGCCAAGCTGTAGTCCCCTCGTCACTTACTGTATCTCGGTTCCCGTGTAAGCTATAGGGATGTAAAGTACACCAAAATGTTCGTCTCGATCTGGCGAGGCTTTTGGTATACTTTACGCCTATGTAGCGCACCGGGATACCGAGATACACGAGCCTGAACTGGGCACGGAAAACGCTACGCTGCGCTCCAGTGCACGCTCAACTGTCCACGGATGATGTGACTTGGTTTTTCCCAACGGAAATTTCCCGATTTGTCCAAAAAAACGAGCTTTCTCTCAAAAAATTCAAAAACGATAAAAAATTTGATTTCCTGGAGAAATGGCACAAATGTGTATCGTAAATTAATTTTGACTTGTATGGGAAAAAAACTAAAAATAGCTTTGAAGTCGCAAAAACTGTATTTTTAGAAAATGTTAAAATTTCGTTTAGGCGAATTGTCGGCGCGCCAAAAGACGTCGTCGCCCCCGAAGACGGCCATCGTCATCCCCTCCACCATCTCGGCGCCGACGACTTCGAGCGGGTCAGAACTTCGAGCTTAAAAAGGGCTCAAAAAGGCTTACATTAATCAGAAAAACCGGTGAAAAGCCAAGTAACGGATTTTGATCGCCACCAATTCAACCGCTAATTTAGGGCCCAGTCGCCGCTGCAGTCGTTGCAGCAGCCGGCGATGCAGTACGTCTTCGACCAGCCCCAGCCACTCGCCCCGCCGCCCACCCCCAAGAAGTAGATGAACATCCCCCCACCCCTCTCGCCACCCGCAGCAGCGCCCCGACCACCAACGCACGAAACTTGATGGTGCTTGATGGCGCTGCCCGATCAGCTGAACACGTCTCCCTAGAGCAGCCCCCAACGCCCACAGTTTCCTGTTCCTTATGTATTCCGCTTCTCTGTATAAATATTTTTGGGCGGCTGTGATGTGAAATTATAATTTTTTTTTGTGTGTTGTTTTTTTTTTTCTCTTTTTTTTTTTTCTCTTCCTTCGGTTTTGTTTTTTGGTAAAAAAAAAATTTTGTTTTTTTTTAAAAAATATAATTTTTTAATTTTTTTTTTTTTTTTTATTAATTTTTTTTTAAACCCTTTTTTTTGAATTTTTTAAAAGATTAAAAAAGGGGTTTTTATTTTTTTTTTTTTTTTTTTTTTTTTTCTGGGGGGGAGTTTTTTTCTATAAAACTTCATTACCAAGTGCTTTTAATGGCATATTTTTCGCAAAAGGCAAAATAACGACATTTTCCGTGGTTTTCTACTGGTTTTGCCGAAAAAAGCTACCCCCCTCCAGCGGCCCGAAGAAAGCTTGGAACGGCATGGTTTTGCACCATTCGAAAGCCCTGGAAACGGCGAGAAATTTACATCGGGCCCACTTCTGGGTTTAAACTTTACAAAATTTTAATTTGAAGCCAAAAACGGCCGGTGCTCGTAAATCTGATATGTGGGGACTTATTACGGCACTATTACACACCTAATGACGTATCAAACGTACCTCAAAAATCGCGCCCTTTTACAGGATTTCTTCGACGCCATTCGATACAGCGTCAAAAATATACTAACAGTTTTAATTTCAGCCCGAAATAAGATAAAATAAAATAGTTATGGCAAAAATGTTCTAAATTTTCTAAATTTGCTGTTGCTTTCTAAATTCGCTTTCTAGGTCCGGTTGCCCGGTTTTTTTTCCCCCGGCCAAACAGAACAGTACCAATAAGTGTAAACTGTTAGTAAGATAAATTTCATGCTTTTCAGCCATTGGAACGCCATCGAGATCGTCCTTGTTCTTTGCTAGTTTCTCTTTTTTTGTGCGATCGCAAGGTTCAGACACGAGATGGGAAAGGGGGCAGAGTGCAGAGCGGAGAGAGAACCACGGGATAGCCAGAGAGCAGAGAGAAACGAGAGAGCACAGAGTAGCTCCCGTCTCGTCTGCCTCGACTCACACGACCTCCTCTCTCAATCATGTGACCCGATGGCATCCCTTTCTACATCCGCTTTCTCCTCTGCTTTCACTCATTTAGTCTCACCCTCCCTTCCTTGTCCCTTTAGCCCCTCAGCTGATCGCCGTCCTCCGGCCGTGCCGCCAGTTTTCAGCCGTTTTCTCGTAATTATCGATTTTCCCTCCATTGTCATGACTGTGGCGATGAACTTTTGGGGCTATGCGCAAAACATTGGGCCATCTGCCGTTTTCCTGGGACGTGAAAATGTGGTTTCAATGGTGCTTTTGCTAAAGAGTGACCTAATTACCGTCTTAACGACATTAATGATACCTTTTTAATGATAAACAGCTGTTACTACTTAATAACTTTTGTCCGTTGACTTTCATTATTCTAAAACCACCGACTATCTGCTTAATTTAGTTTTTTACTTTCTTTTCCTTTTATATAGCTATCCAGATTTTGTTAAAAGCAATAAAAGCCAAGCTAAATAGGCAACAAAGTATACTTGAACTTTTACTTATGCATTTTTATCTAGTGCCCTTTTCAAACACTATTTTAGTGGGCTTTGATAGCTTCTTGTTTTTGTTATGATCAATTTTTCAATTTTTTTAAAATCTATATTCCACTTTTCCTTTCAATTACGACACAAAACTGTTGACACCCCAAACGGAAAGCCGCCCTCTATTTCATCACATGTTTGTCGCCTCCTCCCAAAACCCCCCGCACCTTTCCCCGTACAAATAACGCATTGTCATCTTCAGAATAACACGCCCGAAATGTCGTCTGGACCCCGGAAGAAGGCCCTCCTGAAAGTGATCATCCTCGGCGACTCGGGCGTCGGCAAGACGTCGCTGATGAATCAATACGTAAACAAGCGCTTCTCTAATCAATACAAGGCGACTATCGGTGAGTTTTCGGCGTTAAAGAAGAGTTCTTTGCTATTTTAGGCGCCGATTTTCTTACAAAGGACGTGATGATTGATGATCGTTTGGTGACAATGCAGGTACGATTGAAATCTAAAAAAAACGTATTGTTACCCGCTTTACAGCGATAGGATTGAGTTTTTTTTACTTCTAAAAGGATTAGCAAACTGACATTTTACACTGGATTTTTCTATATGGAAAAAATAGCCATTCCTGAGGTTTTTCTGGGAAAAAAACAACAATCCAATCGATTTAATTGTAGATCTGGGACACGGCCGGCCAAGAACGTTTCCAGTCGCTTGGCGTAGCATTTTATCGAGGTGCCGATTGCTGTGTATTGGCGTATGATGTCACAAATTCGACGTCTTTCAAGAATCTCGACTCGTGGAGGGATGAATTCTTGATTCAGGCTTCCCCCCGGGACCCTGAACACTTTCCCTTTGTTTTGCTAGGGAATAAGGTGTGTTCAAAAGATCGTTATGCCTAGCGTGCAATTAAAAACTGCTAAACGGGCATTTTATACTTATTAACGGTATACATCCTTTAATGGAGTATATATTATCTGTAAAAACCGTCAAATTTCAGGTAGACCTTGAGCAAAATCGTGCCATCTCGACAAAACGGGCGCAAACCTGGTGCCAGAGTAAGAACAACATTCCCTATTTTGAGGTGAGGATTAGATTCACTCTTTTTTAATTTATGAAGTATTAAACCCTATATTTATTACAGGTTTCCGCAAAAGAGGCCGTCAACGTCGAGTCGGCGTTCCAGACGATCGCGCGCGACGCGTTGGCGCGAGAATCGCAAGACACACAGGATTTCCCGGATTTCCCAGATCAGGTGGGTGCAAAGAAAAGTTTTCCGGGCTCAGAATTGTTTGGCTTTCGATCCAATTTATAGAGTTCGAACAGATATAAAAAGTGTTGTAATAGAATTTATAGCGTGTTTAATAGTCATTTCTAAGACTTCTAGAGCTTTAGAAAAGAAAAGAATTGATCAAAAGCGCGAATTTTCAATTTTGCTCAGTGTTTCGACGGTCCAATGCGAAAAAGGCCAAGTTGTCAGCAAAAAGAATAGAACGTTCAGTTTAGCTAATTCAGCTAATTTAAAATAGGATCGAGAGCTGCGGAAAAAAAGAGTACAACGTAAACATAAAAAACGTTTCAGATTCGCCTCGACGGCGGCAACAGCGCGCGCAACCAATCGGGCGGCTGCAATTGCTAAAAAACGGGCCCCTAAAAAAAGCAAAAAAGTCCATTAAATCCAAGAATTACTTCCAAAAATCAGTCCGTCAACGGTAGCGTGCCGGTGCTCGAAAACCTCCTGGAAAAAGCTTTGTTGCCCCCGGAAAAAGTTGTCCCCATCACCTCCACTTGTGATATAAAACGATGTTTACCCTTTCAATATAGCCATCATCCCCGTTTTAATGCCTTTTTGTATTGACACCTTTTTCAATGTAATTTGTATGTATGCCCGACGTTAGCTTCACAGTTTGTGTGCGTTTTTTCGTGGAAACTTCTGCCAATTTGTCGCCAATAAATCATGCCGGTTCCCAAGAACTTGTGCAAGTTGTCGAGCTTTTTGGTTTGCACTTGAATTGAAGGCGCGGGGTGATTCAGACAGTGACGCGCAGGTTTGCGAGTCAAAATAATACAGTGCTTTGGAGTGTACATAGTAAAGCTTTGTAGGAATCGAGGAAACTGGAAAAATTATAACGCTTAGGGAAGAAAACCCTGTTTTCCTAGCTAAAAGCTTATCAAAAATAGCATAAACACAGCAAAAAGTACAGATTTTAGCTTGTAAAAACCTTTAACAAGGCTAAAAACGCTCCAATTATGTATAACAATACTTGCTCTTACTTTTATTACTTTTTAATCCAACTTTTAAATAATACAACGTGAATTTACGGACCATTTTTCGGGCTCAAACCTGAACAGTTACAACTTTCCGCTTAAATAAAACGTTTGAGATGCGTAAAATGCGTAAAAAAACTGTAAATAAATTACGCATAAAAAGTATAATGGTGTCCATTCTTCCGTGAAAAAGTAGGAGATATATGCAGGGACGTAGCGTAATACCGGCCCCGGGGGCCCGGGCCCCCGAAATCGGACGGACCGACCAAGGCCACGATTTTGACCTCGATCTGGGTGCTTCCCCTGGGTGCCATCTGCCGAGCTGCCATTTTGCCGCCCGACAGATGATAAATCTAGCCAGCGCACTAAAGGCGGGCGGATCGGTATTCATACAAGTAGACCGCTTTTTTTATTTAAATGAGCCTTACTTAATCAAACATTAAAAATTAGACCTGTAGTATTAACATATACAATATTTTAACGTAGTAGACCCCTACAAGCCAGTTTCACGACCAAATACCGCACGGTACGTTAAAATGCGGCATATTATAACACAATAAAGATATGATTTTTAATGTTTTATTAAGTAAGGCTCATTTAAATAAAACAGCGGTCTACTTGTAAGAAGACCGGTTCGCCCGCCTTTATGCCTGGCTGATTATCATCTGTCGGGCGGCAAAATGGCTGCTCAGCAGATGGCACCCAGGGGAAGCACCCAGATCGAGGTCAAAATCGTGGCCTTGGTCAGTGGATCCCCCGAAATCGGCCGGGCCGAAATTTCTAGGGGGACCCTTATGATTTTCATTTTCTCAAAAATTTTGCTTGCTGCGGCGCTCTTTTTTCATTTTTTTTACCGGTAATTTGTAGGGCTATGTAACCTTTTTTTCAAAAAATTTGCCTGCGGCGCTGTTTTCTTGTTAATGTTTTGAGTTTTTTGGAAAAAAATTTTGGGCCCCGAAATTTTTTTCTGGCTACGCCCCTGGATATATGCCACAATCCAAGGCATCCGCAATTTCGTTGAATTCGTTGCCCCTCTCCGCGCTGAACGGGTCAATAGCTTGCAGGGGTCGGCCTCTCAACCCGGATAAATTGAGCAAGAAAATTACGCCAGCGATTTCTGCCTTTCTTGACTTGTATTTATACCTACCATTTACTATATTTTATATCCATTTATTACTCTTTTTAAAACAAATAACTTGCCCAGATGTTACCAGAAAACGACCTTTTCGAATTTCATCGATATGGGGATACATTAATGACCTATTGACCCTGCTTACTGGTCTTTCAAATGCCATATACGCATCGCTGACCTGCATTCTTAACTCATATATTTTTATACCTCAATTGCAAGATATTTCATCGGTATTCCTTTCATAAATACGATAAATAGGATGTCTTCCGCACCCCACAAAAAGGCCCTCCTGAAAGTGATCATCCTCGGCGACTCGGGCGTCGGCAAGACGTCACTGATGAATCAATTTGTCGATCAGCGCTTTTCGAATCAGCATAAAGTGACGATTGGTAGTGTTATTCTCCTAGTTTTATCCCATTTTTCAGGAGCCGATTTTATCATGAAAGACATGTTGGTTGATGGTCGCCTGGTGACAATGCAGGTAGGAGGGCTTACAAACCTTGAAGACGTATTAAAAATTGAAACTTTTTGTCGATAATTGGCCCTTTTTGTCGCAAAGAATATTTATCATTCTACGAACTCGGGCACCCTCTCATCCCCTGGAACATTACAGATCTGGGACACGGCCGGCCAAGAACGTTTCCAGTCGCTTGGCGTAGCATTTTATCGAGGTGCCGATTGCTGTGTATTGGCGTATGATGTCACGAATTCGACGTCTTTCAAGAATCTCGACCCGTGGAGGGATGAATTCTTGATACAGGCTTCCCCCCGGGACCCTGAACATTTTCCCTTTGTTTTGTTGGGGAATAAGGTGGGTTCAAAAGTGTATTACATCTTCTTAAACCACTAACGAATTATTAGTGGCAAAACTAGGGCACTTTAACCTTATATCCAAGCTCTTAACTTTCAGGTGGATCTCGCGCAAGACCGTGCGGTCTCGAGGAAAAAAGCCGAAGCGTGGTGCCAGACAAAGACCAAAATGCCCTATTTTGAGGTACGTATCTACTACTCCTATTCTACCCTTTTAAGGTATCCGCGAAAGAAGCTGTCAACATCGAATTGGCTTTCCAGACGATTGCGCGGGCTGCCCTGGCACGGGAATCGCAGGATACACAGGATTTCCCAGACTTTCCGGCACAGGTAGGCTGCTTAGGGCTTAGGCTTAGCTTAGGCTTAGGCTTAGGCTTAGCTTAGGCTTAGGCTTAGGCTTAGCTTAGGCTTAGGCTTAGGCGTAGCTTAGCTTAGGCTTAGCTTAGGCTTAGCTTAGGCTTAGCTTAGGCGTAGGTTAGGCTTGGGATAGGCGTAGGCTAGGCTTTGGCTTATGCTAGGCTTAGGCTAGGTTTTGGCTTAGCTTAGGCTTAGCATAGGATAGCCTAGGCTAGACTTGGGCTTGGGTTAGACTTCGTTTAGGCTTCGCTTAGTCTTGGTTTAGGCGTGGCTTAGGCTTCGCTTAGGCTTAGCCTTCTCATGGCTTGACTTATTCCTGGCTAAGGATATGCCTAACTAAGTTTCACTGAAACCTTACGCTTGAGTTAATAATCTTGTAAAAAATATTGATGCCTGATTTTTATTACCTTGTTTTCCAGGTACTACTCGACTGCGGGAACGCTAAGAGTTCCAGCTTCTGCAGCTGCCAATGAAAAACGGGTGTTCAAATCGATTCAATTTTTAAGTGTTTATTCTTTTTGCGAGCAATAACATAATTTGAAAAACAATTCAACGAAAATATTATACATTAAATGGACTGCAAAACACAAAAAATATATTAATTTAATGCTTAGAACTGGATTGCCGAAGCGCTCCAAAAATCTGGAGGCCGCTTTCTACGTGTAGAATTTTGGTGTGTCCATGCACCTTTAAAGGCACTAAGAACGGCGAAAATCGACCCCTTCTGTTGACTAGGTCTAGACAGAAACCTAGCGTAATACTTAACGTCTAGCTTTCAAGATGATGTAAAAAAATAGGTCGATTCTAGCACGCCCCAACCTTTCTATGCTCGGGTATCACACGCACACAACGATTCGCAAAACTTGCTGGCGAGGGCGCAGAACTGCTGCTCTCTCCAGTTGATGCACAGCTTTGAGCGCGCTTCAGGGCAATCAGGCACTAATGGTGCTCTCATCTCGGTGTTGGCAGTGAATGTTGCTTCCGTTGAGCTTTCGCGTTGTGGGGTCGGGGGTCGCGTGTAGATTTGGACGTCTTTTAGCGGTTTCTAGGGTTCAGATCGTTGAAAATTAATATGGATTTAGTTTCTTATGGATTTTCCGCGACCGCGACCCGAAACGCGCGTGTCGACTTTTCCATTGCGTAATGGGCTGCGGTCCCCCTGATCGCGGTAAACGGGTGCGGCTTGCGCGTTGCGTGCCGGCCATGCCGGCAAGGCATGGTCTTGAATATGAATAAAAATGAATATTTCTAGGAATTTTTAAAGAATTCTGCAGCGCCGTAGAATGCAACGCGCACGTAATCTTTCCATTATGCATTCCGTATCCCGGGAATTTTTACCCAGCCCTTACTGGTCACCTTAAAGGAGCTAAAAGGTCCCGGAAGCTACCCTTACCAGCGAAGAGGTCTCGACAACTACGCGCTACTCCAAATCTCACAGAAACTCGTTGTAGACTCGCGTAACTGTCGAGACCTAGGCGACGGGAGGGAGGTTGTTTTCGGGGCTTTCTCAGCCACTTTCTACGGATTTTTAAATAGTGAATTTTAGGCCGAGATACTTTGAATAGGTTCAGGGGACGGTCCAGACAAGGCTATGGATTTTACTGCCTCTATCTTTCCTATGGACGCTCTGCTCCGCAATACGCGACGCAAAGGCGGCGCCCGAAAATAGCTGTAATTCGCGATGGTCTTCACAGCTGTCGAAATGAAAATTGTTAATTCTAAAGGTGCCGTTTTTCAAAACCAACAATGGCACAATCCATTACGCAATATAAAGGAGTTCGCGGCACGTGTCACTGCCGCGTTGCGTATCGCGTTCGCGAGGCGCTACGCGCCACGATCGCGTCACAGACGCCGAAATATATCAGCAAACCCTGCCAGTCCATTACGCAATGAAATAATCCATTACGCGGTGAAAGGCGGTCGTGTTGCGTGTGATCGTTGCTTCGAAATCCATAGCCAGGCCCGTACGAGGGGACCGGGGCACGGTGCCCCGAAATCGGTCGAGGTCCGAAAAGTTCATAAGGGGGGACCCTTATGATTTTTTTCGCAAAAATTTTTCTGCCTGCGGCGCGGTTTATCACTGTTTCGAAACGATGTTTACTTCTAAAAAACCTATTTTTCTAAAATTTTTTGCATGCGGCGCGCGTTTTCATTAGTGCACCATTTTTGCTGAACAAAATTTCGCTTGCGCGCGCCGTTTCCGATGTGTTTTCACACGAATTTAAGCGTTAGAAAAGCGGTTTTCAATTTTTTTTTCGCCGGCGGCGCTGTTATTGAGGCGATTTTTGGAAGTTTTAAAAGTGGCGACCGGGGGGGGGGGGCGGGAGGTCGCCAAAAATTTTTGGTGGGTGCCCCCCGAAATCTCGGCTCCCGTACGGGCCTGTCCATAGCCATGCCTTTCCAGCCCCTTTGAACATACCTTTATAGCCTGCAACGCCTCTTCCAAATCATCATCAAGGCTTTTCGGTGGTGCCGGAAATCTGGGGCTCGGCTTCCGCTTCCCCGGCCCACCATCATCCGAGTAGTAGTCTTTTGACTGATCCTGGAAACCCCCAAAAAAGTTGACTATCTATACTAGACTTACCTCCAACAACTCCATAATCATCAGCTTGATCCGCTTCAGCAGCTCGGTGCTGATCCCCGTGAACTTGGCGCCGCCGTCGTCCGGGTCGTCGACGGCGCTACTATTTTTTGCTTTACATACGTGCGTACTTTGAAGCCTTACGCATCCCGTTTTGGCAGCAGTCCATCGCGATACATCTTGAGGTATTCTGTGTAGGTGAGGGGAGGCGTGATTTCTAAAGTTTTTATCAACTCATAAAATATGTAAATTGATGTTTTCGGAGTTTAAAAATAATGGAGTCCGTGATTTTTCGAGGTTACAACAAATTAAGTTGATCAAAATGCTATCATAGACGCTTTTTCGCTAATAATTGACGAAAATTACCTTAAAAAATACTTTATAAGGCTCTATGATTTATGAGAATTTTCTTGATAAATTTTCAATTTATCTGATTACGATAGCCAAATACCTACCGGGCTCATAAAATTGCGGCGCAGGCGTGGCCTTGAGTGCGATGATGACGATAATTGTGAGTAGACAAATCGAATTTACAGCTTAATTTTCAATTTTCTTAGGCACCGCTAGAGCTTACCTGTTAATATGAGGACGACCATCAGCCAGTTGCACATCGTGGGCTTTGGCGGGCCAAGGGTGACCACTTCTCGGCTCATTTCTGCTCGATAAATTTAATGAAATGTCATGATTGAAAAATTGACTAAAAAGAAGAATAACTAAAGATAGTATACAGGGTGTATCAAAAAAAAGTGCCCAAGTTTGTCCCCAATTATCTCGAGAAGGAAAGATATTTCACCGTGCGTTACCATGCCAGAATGCTTAAATATGTCAGGAATAGGGAAATAACTCAACTTGATTTTTTCGATTTTTGGCGACGTATCAATACAAATGACACCCGAAAACTGTGCGTTCGGGGAAACTTCACTTGCATTTTTTTCAGTTTCCTGTGGTGGCTGGCTTCTAATTTTTACAATGTAGAATAATCTAAGCAACAGATATGCACCTAAAAAAATTTAAATTTTTTGAGGGTCTGGTTCAAAAGTTATGCACCGCTGAAATTTTGTATGTAGAAATTTCGTGAATTTCGTGTATTACAAAAACCTGTGGTGGAAATGTCAAGATAAGTGGTTTTAGAAGATCTACGGGCTCGACACAATCGCATAAAAATATTTTAAAACTTTTTAAGATCTATGAATTTTTGAGTTTTTCGACGACCCCCTGGTCATGGATTTTTTTGGGGTCACGGCAACGAACTTCAGAAAAATATTTCTAAAGTTGCAGATGGAACTCGGCTATTTCTTTTCTTGGTTATGTAGGACTGAGGTTTATCTATCAGCAACAAAAATTTGAGCTACCGTACCCCCTCGGAAGGGCGCCTTTTAAGGCCCCCAAAACGGTTGGTTCGTGCTATTTTGCAAACCTTACTTCCTTTCTATAAAATTGAATTGTGCCGCCAAAATTCTCGCCACATTTTTGTTTGACACTATCTGGTTGGCGCCTTCAAAAAGTATATGTACGAATTTATTCAGCCATACGCTATCTCGAAAGAAATTCATGAAAAGCCCAAATATACCCGAATTCGAGGCTATGTAAAAAAATGCTCGATCGCTAGTAGCCGTCAATTTTTAGCATAAACCAAGCTTGGGTATTCAATTAAAAACCATGCAAAGAAAAAACTTTTCTATGGCAAACGATTTTAGAGGAGCGCCTCAAAGTCGACTTTTCAAAAACGTTATTTTCGGGTTTTAAATCAAGATTAACCATTAACTTCAGCCAGATCATTCCAGAACTCTGTCCTCATACACAATTCGATGCGTGCTTTAATTGTATCCACCAAACCTCGGTGCCTTTTTCATTTTCAAAAATTCGATTTTCGAGCCAGGGCGTTGGGTCCAAAATCGGGGCCCGAGGGGGTTTTCCACTTTCCCTATAACTTTGTCATTTGCCACAGGAATCAAATAATTTTTTGTAGGTGCTCTTACAATCGCCCAGTGAACAGTCTAAAGTCGAAAAACTGGCACTTTATGGAATTTTGTCTTGGCATGCTAAAACGCGCTCCAGGCGGGTTACTGTAGAAAACAGAAAATCGCCGTTTTCTCGCTCTTTTCACCATAGAAACGTTTCGATCTTTCGGGAAAACAAATAATAGTAGTTTTTGGTCCGATACATCAAAATATTTAGTAATTTCCGTGGCTAAATTCGAAAATAGGTTTTTTGCATATTTTGGGAAGGTGTATGGCTAGAACTTCGCGATATTTAGCCCATAAGTGACCCTTACTAGTGTTTACCAATGATGAAATTTTCAGCGAAATCGCAGCTTACAATAAAAGAAAACGCGGAAAACGAAAACTACAGTATCCCTCTGGGGCACGTTTTAGCACGCAATATTAAAATACCATAGAATCAGGTAAAATTTGGTGTTGCGCTAAAGATTATCATTCGAGACACCATTTGCAAAAAGATCAGCCATGGGCAGCGTATTTGAAGCGAGCTGCGAATTAAAAAGTAAAAATAGGTAAAACAGTGAAATTTGTTTTTCTTGTTAAAAAAGAAGTAGAGCTTGAAAAATTATAAGACTTGGCCATTAGCTTTCTACAAATGCCAACGATTTTTGGGCCAAAAATCAGAATTTTCCCACCACCCATTCAAGAACGCACAATTTTCGGTCGTAACCACCGTCAATAGTACAGTTGCGTACTCAAAAATCGAAAAAATCAAGTTGAGTTATTTCCCTATTCCTGACATATTTAAGCATTCTGGCATGGTAACGCACGGTGAAATATCTTTCCTTCTCGAGATAATTGGGGACAAACTTGGGCACTTTTTTTTGATACACCCTGTATAAAGACATCAGAGTCGAAAGTTGGTGTTTGTTAGAGAAAGGTGTTTTTTATTGAGACACCCTGTAAAGACACTATTTTTTTCCTATATTGAGTAGGATACTGTAAATAGGGCAGCTATAAACCAACCCTTTAATCGGATTCTAATTGTACCTGTTGAAACTTCGGAGATTCAAGCAAAAGGTCCTCTCACGGGCGCAGGAATTGTGGGCGCGGTGCCGTGGTGATGTGGATGGCATACAGCCGGTCCGTTGTCGAACGGCTGCCCGGGTCTAATTGGACGGCTCTCAAGCCACGGTAGAGGGGGGATCACATTCACACATGATCACTGCAACCCTCTCCATCATCAACATGCCATGATTCACAGTAAACTCCTCTGCTGGCAGGGGGTGGGGGTGGGAATTGGGACAAAGCGGCTTCTCCCTCTCCTCCCGTCGGCTTCTCGTCAGGCGATTCTAATGCCGACTATACAACGAATGGGAAGAAGGTACAAATTCTTCGTAAACAGCATCACTACCTAAATCACCCATTGACGCAGAGAGATGAAGGGTATGAGACAGACCCAGAGGCCCTTAAGCGGCATCGTTCAGTTGGGCTTTAAAGGGACGCGTAAGACTCAGAGCACTGTAGTCCCGCTTCACCGTCCCTTTAAAGGATGTGGCCACTCCCAGAGAATCGACTCCCTACCTCGCCTGGATCTAGACAACTTCGCCCTGCGACAAAAAGAAATCGCCTACCAGCTTATGTTCAACTTTGCTAGGTTTAGTTTAGCTTAGGACCAGACTTTGCTTATTAGGCTTAGGCCTAGGTTTGGCTTAGGTTGGGGCATAGGCATAGGCTTAGGCTTAGGTTTGGCTTAGAATTAGGAATGGGCTGAGAAGCAGGCTTATCTTCAGCTTAGGGGCTAAGGGTTAGGCTTAGCTTAGACTTAGGTTAGGCTTAGGATTAGCTTAATCCTAAGTTAGGTTGAATTCAGGCATAGGCTTAGGCTTACCTTAGACATAGCTCAGGCCTCGACGGTAATTAGGTTAGGCTTAGGCTTCGGTTAGGACTAAGCTTAAGTTAGGCTTAGTTTTAGGATTACGTTTAGGCTCAGGCTAAAGCTTAAGTTATGCGAAGTCAGACCTGGGCTAGGCATACTACTTACGTTTTTTTTCAGTTAGTTTTGACCTTGCCTAGCTATTGCTTCACTGGCTTGCCTAGCTTAACTTCGGCTTGGTGTAGATTAATCCTAATCTTGCACATTTCCATTCTCTGTCCATTTCAGTGTGCTTATCCCCAGCCATCTTTCATCATATATTTTATACTCTATCGCAAAGTGACAATGTAAAAAAGGGCTGCGTGGGGGGTGAACACGAATCTGTACGAGCAATGCGATGGGGGGAGCTGTGATCACATTTTGAACTGGGAATCCGAGGGGAGCTGGGATACAGAAAATAGGTAGGACTAGAGAGGCCTATGTACAATCACAATCACCGGACAAGGGGGAGGGTACGGTAGTTTTGGCACGAAATAGAATCGAAGGGTGCGACCAGACAGGAGGGTACCGGTATATGGTGAGGTTTAGGCTAGGGTTAGGCTTGCGCGTGGGCGTAGGGTTTGGTTAGGCTTGGGCCTAGGCTTGGCTTAGACTTGGCTTAGGCTGGGCTTAGGCTTGGGTTTGGAGTTTGGGTTTGGGCTTTTGGGCTTGGGCTTGGGCTCGGGCTTAGGATTTGACCAGGAAATAAGGCCACAAAATGAACATAAATTGGGCATGCGTTGGTTGTGGCTTAACGGAATTCGCTTGAAAAGCTTAAGCTTAGGTTTAAGATTAGGATTAGGCTTAGGCTTAGCCTAGGCTTAGGAAAAATATAAGGCTTTCAGCGACCCAGCTCATGGACGACGTGCAACACTTCAGAAAGGTCCAGGTTGTCGGAGGAGAGATATGAAAGGTTCTGGAAAAATAATCGATTACGGTGGATGTCTAATTACCGTAATGCTAGACAGCAACGCGGTGATGTTGGCCATCCGATTGGCGGCGGCCAGCTCGCCCCGACCCCGGGCCGTCACCGTCTGCAGCAGCTCCTGGTAGTAGCCCCGACCTGCTTCGAGTCGTTGCACACCCGTTGGCGAAAGATTCGGCAGATCTGAAGGAGTTGGATTACATTTCGAAAATCTGATTTTCCACGGTATTTAGTGTGAGAGAGCGAGAGAGAGAGAGCGAGAGAGAGCGAGATAGTGAGTGAGTACTTACCGTCGGCAAAGATGAAGAACAACCCGGCAATCGTCGCCTCATCCTCATCAAGTTGCAGCTCCTCTAACGGCTCTCGCAGCAACACCATCGACTTCTCCGATAGCGAATGAAGGTCGTGAAGTGGATGTGGGGCGGGTAGGGATGGGGAGAGGAATGTCCCGTTGCCGTAGCACACTCCGCGACAACCCGCACGAACCGCCCAATTCGAGGTGAGCCACCAGTAGTACGGAGCGAAGCGGCATTTTGCGAGGGACATCTGGCAATAAAATATGGTGTGGAAAGGGAAAACTATGCCTAAACCCAAGCCTAAGCCTATGCCTTAGCCTCATCCTAGACCGAAGCCCGAACCTAAACCTAAGCCAATCCAAAGCCAAGCTTAAGCCTAAGCCTAAGCCTAACCTAAGCCTAAGCCTAAGCCTAAGCCTAAGCCTAAGCCTAAGCCTAAGCCTAAGCCTAAGCCTGAGCCTAAGCCTAAGCCTAAGCCTAAGCCTAACATGTAGAGGTTGTGGGGTCACAGACTCCAAATCGGCTCAAAATTGGTGGAAAAATCAAATAAAATACGGGGAACACGATGCGATAAAAA